ACCCATGGTGACCATAGCAAGTGTGTTCCAGGCCCTCTTGCTGGCCCTGATGACATCTGTACCTGATTTTCTCCCTCTATGTACATACTTAGGCTCATCAGTATTTGTCTTGACTTTAGATTACAGTGTGGTCAGTGTCTCTGAAATTTCAGCCCCAATCTTGTGCTGGGGCCTAGGATGGTGGGAAAGCTGGGCTTTCACCGATGGGATTGCAGGTGTAGCCAGAAGGAGCAGACACAACACGCTGGATACTGTTTATGCATTAAATACACAGCAGCCCCCACTAGTGGGTCTCTTGCCTTGTCCAGGAAGCAGCGATGGGTCAGCTTGGTGGACAGAAGGCTGCAGGAAGCACTCCTTACCCCTTCTCGCCCTTCTTCACCCCACATCCTCCAGCCCCTCCAGCCCTGGCCCTGGAGAGACAGAACTTGCAAACAGGAAAAGATGCACTAACTGAAAAGAAATGCAGTGAATCCAGACCTAACCCCAAAGCAAACGTCAGCCACGGTGGGTTTGGAGCTGTGCTCTGCAGTGGCTGTCACTGTCTGGCTATGTGGGGTGAGGAGCTGCTAGGCTGTGATAAGGAGCTGAGCCGGGCTGGGGGTCGGTTCTCTCCAGGCGCCTCGTCCAGAGAGGAAGCCCGTGCCCTGCAGGCCGCCTCACTCCCTGATGGCTCTGGGGTGAGTCCTATCTCGATGGTGACCTCATTTCCCTTAATTGGGTGTTCACAAACCCCCTGGAAAGTTCCAGCAAATAAACCACCCAGATGCTGGTGTGGGAGCTTCTGATATCCCTGACTGTGCCTTTCCTCTGGGGCGCTGGTGGTCTCCCAGTGATACGGAGGGCGGGGTAATTGATTGGGGGAAGAGAGTGTGTTTTTTCAAGATAAGACTTGATCCTGAGAAGACAGAGCTTTCCAGATGCCTCTGCAACATCAGAGAGTGGGGGGATGCAGGCCTCCACTGCCCCCTTGCTGGTGCAGCAATGTTGAGCCCCCAGGCAAATTCCTGCCTTGGAGGGAGCACAGCCTGGACTGCCACCACCCCGTGGTGTTAGGTAGTACTGGGGGTTTGGAACACTGAGCTAGGCCACCGTGCGCCTCTTCTCCTGCTCCGGTAGTCTGTGTCTCCCTGGGCTTGTTCAGCGTGCAGTGTCCATTGAGGACTTGTCATCTCTGCCCATGTGGTCCAGTGCCCAAAGGACCAAGGCCATGTTCTTTTGTTTGGCACTAAGACCTTCAATATCTGGCTCCGGGTGAGCTCACCTCTTTTCTCTTCTTCCCCTCAAATATCCTTCTCTCCTTCCCCCTTGAAGTTTTTCTTTTTCTTTGGATGGGCTCTTGCCTCTGGCAATATGTTCTTTTCTTCTTTTTATTCCTGGAAAACCAGAGGCAGCACAGCATGGTGGGCTTTGGCTTGAGACCACCTGAGTTCTGATCCTGTCTCTGTCCCTTTCAATCTATGAACCCAAGGGCCCGTTACCTAGGTGCTGTCTGCCTCAATTTGTTCATCTGTGAAATGGGCATAATAATGCTTCTTCCTATCGGCAGTAATAGTTCCTTAGGCTCATTGTGAGGATTAATCCTCATTGTGAGGATTAAGAGCTAAAACATGTAAAATACTTGAAACAATGTCTTAAAGTAAGCATTCAATAAATGTAGGCTACAGTGATAATAACTTTTAAAGACCCTCTACTGTGAAGCCTTGCCATGCTACCAGGCAGGATTAGCTTTTCTCCTTATGGGATCCAAATAAGACTAACCATGAGGTTCTAGTTATTTATTCCAAAGTCTGAGTTTACCACTGGCCTAAGAATTCCTAAAAGATAAGAACTAGGTTTAGCAAGAAGACTAACAGCATTTATACTACTGTGTGCTAAGCTCTCCACCATATGACTTTTTCATGCAATTTTTTATTAAGACCTAATTCACGTACTGTAACATTCACCCAATTGAGGTGTACAACCCCGTGGTTTTAGCATATGCGGAATAGTACAAACTTCACCACTACCTAATTGTGCATGTTCTGTAAGAAACTGTGTATCCAGTAATGGCCACTCCCCAACCTCCTCTCTCCATTTCCTGCAACCACAAAGCTGATTTCTGCCTTTGTGGGTCTGTCTGTCCTAGAAATTTCATATAAAAAGAAACATGCAATGCGCATCCACTTGTGTCACATTTCTTTCACTTGGCACAATGTTTTCAAGATTCATCCAACATTACGACTTCATTCCTTTTTATAGTGGAGTAATATTCCACTGTATGGAGATATCATGTTTTGTTTATTCTTCAGCCAGTAGGCGTTTGGGTTGTTTCCACTCTGGGGCCATTGTGAAGGATGCTGCCATGATTAATCATGTGCAGGTTCTTTGTATGGACAAGCGTTTCCATTTCTCATGGGTATTATATTATGCTGAGGGGTAAACTTGCTGGCTCAGATGGTAACTGTATACTGAACTATTTGAGGAATGGGCAGACTGTTCCAAAGCATTGCCATCATTTTACATTCCCACCGGCAGTGTGTGAGGGTTTGAATTTCTCCCTGTCCTCGCCAGCACTGGATATTCTTTTTTTTTGGTACTGGGGATCAAACTTGGGTCCTTGTGCTTGCACAGCAGGCAGCAAAACCACTGAGCTAAATCCCCAGGCCTCTTTTTTTTTTCAAATGTAGGGAGTAGACAGAATTCGCCCGGACACCAAGGGAGGGGCCAGTGAACTGGCAGATCCATATTATGTAGTAGGACCCCCTCAACCTGAATTAAGGCAAAGAGAGTTCCACATAAACCCTCGGATGAGCCAAATCCTAAAGCCTCACCCTTTAGATAAACCTGCTACAAATGACGAACCCCAACTTTAAACAGAAAGTTGTGTAAAATACCATGGTCAGGTGCCTCAACCCTGTTTGGAGGAAAAATCTGCATCCTTTTCGCAATGGGATCGAACTTGGGACCTGGCGCTTGTGAGGCAGGCACTGGAACCACTGAGCTAAATCCTGGGCCTTGTCACTTTTCGTTTCTTACGTAAAAGGAAAGTCAGGCTGAAAGAGAAGCGGGAACACCTGTGAATGAGGCCCTGGGCAAAGAGTTATTTGATGTCATAGAGGCCCCTGGAGGCAAAGAGTTATTTCCATCTAAGCCACATTAGGGGACGCTACCTTGGGGCCTGTGTGGCAGCGGAGGCTGGGCTTGTTCCTCCGAAGATCTCACCCGCAGCCATGAGTGGTAAAGAATGCTTCAAGTGTGGACGCTCTGGACACTGGGCCCGGGAATGCCCTAAAGGAGGAGCTCGAGGGAGAAGACCTAGAAGCCGTGGCAGAGGTCCGCAGTGCAGTTCCACCGCCCAACCTGACATCTGTTACTGCTGTGGTGTAGCTGGTCACCATGCCAAGAATTGTAACCTTCAGGACATCTGCTACAACTGCAGGAAAAGTGGCCACATCGCCAAAGACTGTCCTGAGCCTAAACAAGAGAAAGACCAATGCTGTTACACCTGCGGCAGACCAGGCCATCTGGCTCGTGATTGTGACCGTCGGGAAGGGCAGAAATGCTACTTTTGCGGCGAAATTGGGCATATCCAGAAAGACTGCTCCCAAATCAAGTGCTGCCGGTGTAGTGAGACGGGCCACATGGCCATGAACTGCAACAAGGCGAGCGAAGTCAACTACTACCACTGTGGAGAGTATGGACATCTAGCCCGAGAATGCCCCGTTGAGGCCACAGCTTAGTTCCCTCCCCAACCCCCTCTCCACTCTGATTAGTTGTATTTTCTCTACAATCTCTTCGCTGATCAAAAGATTGATCGATGGAGGCTACTCTGAGATCATCAAGCTTTAATTGCTGTGTTAAAGGAGGAAAGGGCTGGAGGAAAAAATTCAAAAAAAGTTATTACAATCAATGCACTGTTTCTGAGCCACTGAGAAATCCAGATATTGAATAGTCATTCAAAGCACTAGACAGTTTCTTGGTTCTTTTGAGTGTATTTTGATTTAACACATTCCATTAGAAGTTACTAGTGAACAAATCAGAACAACTTTTGGAACACAGCCCTTGAATCTATTAAACTACATAGTATGTCAGATAAAGGTAAATTGCCACAAAGAAAAGAAACACCAAGTAGAAAAGAAGAGAAACCACTGTGGAGCAGGGAAGACAATGTCCTTTTAGGCACCCAAGACCACCCTGAGGAGGTAACATTTCCTCAGATTGATAGAGCAAATAAAGCTGGTTCTGCAAAAAAAAAAATGTAGGGAGTAGGAAGTGACAGCTCATTGTAGCTTTGATTTGCATTCCTCTGATGGCCAACGGTGTTGAGTATCTTTTCATGTATTTATCCTTTATTTGTATATCTTCTTTGAAGCAATATCTATTCACATCCTTTGTTCATTCTTAAATTGCAGTTTGTAACTTCACTGTGGAGTTGTAAAACCTCTTTATATATTTTGGAGACAAGTCCCTTATCAGACATATGATAAAATATTATAAATACTTTCTCCCCACTATAGAGTTGTCTCTTTACTTTCTTGATAGCATCCTTAGAAGCACTAAAGTTCTAATTTTTATGAAGTCTAATTTATCTATTTCTTTCCTTTGTTGCTTATGCTTTTGGTGTTAAACATCTGTGGTTTAAGGAACCAGTGCCTAATCCAAGGTCACAAAGTTGTACTGTGCGCTTTTAAAACCACATCTCCTTTACAGTAACCTTACGAGGAATAATGAGTCTTCACAGACCCACTCCACAGATTAGGGAACTAAGAGGTCAAAGTCCAGAGTCGGGACTTTTGCAGTTCCTCTGAACCCCATACACACCTCACTGTGCCTCCTCCAGCGTCCCTTTCCCTCTGCGTCCCTCACAGGATTGCGTGAGGAGAGGTGCCTTGGGTGGATGGATGACAGCCCAGCAGGTGTGCAGGGTGCTCCGCCTGGCTGGCTCAGGCTGGAGCCTCAGTCACACAGCTCACTGGGTGCTGATGGCTACTGAGCCTGTCTGTCCTCTCCCTTCACAGTGTCTCATTGTTGGCGGAGGACCCTGTGGCTTGCGCACTGCCATTGAACTCGCCTACCTGGGAGCCAAAGTGATCGTGGTAGAGAAAAGGGACACCTTCTCCCGGAACAATGTGCTGCACCTCTGGCCTTACACCATCCATGACCTGCGGGGCCTGGGAGCCAAGAAGTTCTATGGGAAGTTCTGCGCTGGCTCCATCGACCACATCAGTGAGTGGGCTCTGGGCAGGGCACATCTGTCCACATCATGGAGACCCAGATGATTTCATCTAGTGAGCCCCTGGGGGCTCCATACATCCACCTAGCGGGCATCTTCTGAGGCCCTGCTCTGTGCCTTGTTCCAAGCCCCATGCAGTGGCCCACTAGGCTGTAAGCACCAGGAAGCCAGGGGCATAACAGGGTACTTGACACAGAGTAGATCTTCAGTAAACATCTGTTGAATGAATAAATGAAATATGGAAGCCAGAGGTAGGGTAAGTAGCAGAGCCTGCACCCTAGGGAGCTCACCAAGATTTTGTGAGAAATAAAATGTGGCTTCCTAGCATTAGTCACTCTTCCCATTAAATGGGCCAAATAACTGAGACCTGGTGTAAAGGAATTTGGAAACAGTATTGCCCGTGCTGAGGAGCCATAGGTTATGGAGCAGAGGAATGACACAATGGAATGGTATTATCTGATAAATCCAAGACCAAATTTTCCCGGAGCTTTAAAGCCATCATGAGGTGACTTCAGGGAGATGAGGAGGGAAGTGGTGACTATGCCCCTTGGGTCCAGAGCATCCCTGAGCACTCACAAGAGCAAGGTCCTTCACCCTGAGAGGGTCTCTGTGTACATTCTGGTCTTGGGGAAGGCAGCACCCTCCTCACAGCTTGCAGGGGGAGGATTTAGCCATTTTTGTACAGCAGTGGTGACCCATGAAAGTGAGGATAAGTTCAAGTATTTGAATCCACTTGGGTCCAAAATCTGTCTCTTTCATTTTGATCTGACTTGAGACGAATTCCTTACCATCTTCAAGACTCAATTTCAGCTCCTGTAAAGGGTGATTGACACCCACCTGCCTCCCAGAATTGCTGGAATGAAATGGGGTCCAGTTTGTAACACGCTTAGCACTACGCCCAACACAAAATAGGTGCTCAGAAAAAATACTTTGCCTCTAATGATGGACAGTGAGGAAGAAGCAGCCTCGGTCCCCAAGCTTGAGAATCCCAAGCTGCGTTTTCTCAATCCGTGCTTTTCTATGGGGGCAGCTGAGAGTAGAGCTGCAGAGCCACATTCCTATCAGGACAAGAACTGGTGGGAACAGGAGTGGGGTTGGGACGGGACTGGCTGGAGAGAACGATCAGCCACAGACGGTGTGATTTATTCAGACTCAGGAGAATTTACCAGCAGTGGCCCGAGTTTTTTCCTGCTTTAGTGTGAGAAAGTTCCAGGAGTCCAGTGGAAAGAAAATTGGATTTGCATCAGATTTTAAGGTGATCTGTCCCACCCAGGAAGAATGTGTCACTTACTGATGTACAGCAGTGGCACTGAGCTCCACTCTCTTATCAGGTCCCCTGAGAGCAGCTCTGGCACCAGGAGTCACCAGGGCTGTTGGCTGGTGTCCCAGCCAGGAGCCCCTCTTGCCTGTGTTGTTGGGGCCCCCTGGTAGCCCCTAGTCCTTGGCAATATTGCAGTGTGCAGATGTGCTGACAAGACTAACAGTGAGCTTGAAGCAGTGGAATGGTCATTGCCGAGGGAGTGCCAGGCCCTGTGAGAAGGAGGGGGAATGTATTGAGCACCTACTGTGTACTGGAGCCAGACAGACTAGGAACCTCCTCATTATGAGGTGTCCCCAGGAGCGACTGTTTCATGGCAGGAGCTGGACTGGGCTCATTAAAGCCAGCTGATTGGCATCCATTCGGACCATCTGTGGCCTCCAGGTCCGGCTGCATCCTCAGCTCGGCCTTGCCCAGCAGTTCTCAGCGTGGTCTGTGCTAGGGCCTCCTCCACCTCCCACTGCAGCATCCCAGCCTCCACTGCAGCCTCATCCTCAGCAGACAACCTCCCTCCTGCGCTCAGGGAAGACATGTCCCTGTTCCAGCCGCTGCCGCCTCCTCCTCCTCCCCCTCCTCCTCCTCCCCCTCCTCCTCCTCCTCCTCCTCCTGCCTGAGGACTCCTTCCTTCCCATGCCCTGGCTCAGCAGCCCCCATTCCCAGCTCTACTCTCCCCTTGATGGCATCCCTATCTGTGGTCCTCCTGCGCCTCACCTCACCCCAGGTCTCCAGCCCTAACCTCAGTGTTCTAGAGAGAGGAGGTGTGGATGCTCCATCCACACACAGCTTCCCCTGACAGTCTGATTCCTCCCCACTACCCTGAGATATCACCCAAGTCTCCAGGAGCCTCCTGGCTCATACATGCCCGGGCCTCCTGTAGCCTTTGCAGTCCTTGATCTTTCTGTGGGATTCATTATTCTTGGTTCCTCCTCTCTTGGCTTCCAGGCCCCAGCTTGGACCTTGTTCGGCCTCTGTCACCACTGCAGCCACCCTCCTTGGCTCATTCAGTTGACCTGTATCCCCTCCATGAGAGGGTGTGTCCCCATCTCCTGTGCTAGGCATGGCACCTGGCCCATTATAGATTCTGATAAATGCTAAGTAACCTAAACCCACTAAATGCAGAGGGGCCCACAGAAGGTTCAAGCACCTCACTCTGTGGAGGAATATTTGGAGGGATGCTCATTTATGCTGAATGCCAGGTGACAAAATAGAGAAGTGAGGTTGTACTTGTTGGGAAAGTTTAGAAGCATGAGTAGGAGGGGAGAACCATGAGCCGAGCTTTGTGTGCAAATTTCCCACCCCACCTCTTGCCATTGGAGGGGAGAGCTGAGGTATAGGGCCTAGATAATGAGACCACTGATCAGCAGGAAGGACAGGGCCTGGCTCCCTCTGGCTTCATTGAATGTCTAGGGTGGGGTTGTCCAGTCACACAGAATTGGGTGACATTGAACAAGTCGTTTAACCTTGTAAAACCTCCATTTTTCACCTGTAAAATGAAAATAACAGTGCTCCCAAAGGGTCACAGTAAGGTTAAAAGAGAAAGCAGAGAGCTTGGCCCAAGCTCAGTAGCAATCATTATTGGTGCGCGGCTGCGCTGCGATCCCTGAGCAGTGAGTGTACAGTGTTCTGCACACAGAAGGAGCTCAAGGATTGCTACCAACAGTTATCTCTCCTCTCCCTCCTTCCTAACAGGTATTCGTCAACTGCAGCTCATCCTATTCAAGGTGGCCCTGATGTTGGGAGTTGAAATCCATGTGAATGTGGAGTTTGTGAAGGTTCTCGAACCTCCTGAAGATCAAGAAAATCAAAGTACAGCGCACTTTTCCTTTTCTGTCTCAAAGTCACATATTGCAAACTGGAAGTTACATGTGCAGTTCTCAGAAGATGTTTCTGCAAGTTATTTTCATCAGAAGCCACTTGGAATAATTCCATCAAAAGATAGTTTACCTTTGTTGACCAGTGCTGTCACTTTAGCTTTGCTCTTCAGCTCCCAGAACACTTACTATTAAGTCACAAAACCTATAATTTGGTTACCTTATATCTAGGAGTTGCTGCTTTGACAAATCAAATCAATAGTAAGAAAGAAGGCAAAGATTTGGTTGTTTTGGTAAAGTTCATTCACATGCACTTTCACCTATATGTGTTAGTTCACACATAGATGTGTGAGCTCACTTATTGCACCTATAAAATATTTTAAAATCCAGCAAAGAAAATAAAGCTACTAGAGCAACTATGAAATAAAAGTTCTAGATATTTCGGCACATGTAATATTTAACTATATTGAAATTCAATTTATAAATCATAAAATCACCCATACAGGTGTGTCCTATTTAGTAATGCTTCCCTTTTTCCTCTTAGTGTGTTTATTTAAATTGTGATCTTCTATACACACCGTGGTCAGAGTTTGCTCATGACCCTCTGCATCTTACTTAGAGTCAGTATCTTCTACTCCCTGGGAAAGAATTTGAGTTTTGAGCCAGTTTAATATGAGAGACCTTGTAGTTTCCTCCTAATGGCAACATGTCGGCCTCTCCTGTCCTCTGTCCTGCATGTTCGAGAGTTTAGGTGGGCTTTTCTGACTTTTGTAGAAGGACAGCATCATGACCTGGCCCTCAGAGGCCTGTGTGTCCCTCCTCATCCCTGCACCTCTCCTGGACACTCCATCCCAACTCTGAGGACCCAGCCGGGCCTCACCTGGAAATGTTCCTGTGAAAGGCAGTGCAACAGAACATTTTAAGCTGGAAGCAGTAGATAATCAAACGTTTTTGTGACACCCTTCATACCCTTTGGGGTCTATTTAGCAATGGAAGGCATTGAGGAGCAGTAGGGAACATGAAGAGGACTCAGTAGAATCTGGGGAGAAAAATATGGTGCAAGGGAGACAAGTGGGGGAACCATTAAGGACAGATTCCTGCCAAAGGTCAATAAAACCAGCTTCAGGGCTGGCATTGCTGATTTACTTTGTCCTGACTGAACTGGTTCTAAACCAGAGGAGCCAGGCTTTCCTCTAGAGGCTTCCCTAGGGTGCACTGTCCATTTCTCATTGCGGATAGAGAGGAGTATCATCATTCTCATCCCACCTCTCTCTCGACTCATCTCTTCTTTCTGTCCTGGTAGAAATTGGCTGGAGAGCAGAACTCCTCCCCGCAGACCACCCCCTGTCAGAGTTTGAGTTTGATGTCATCATTGGTGCTGATGGCCGCAGGAACACCCTGGAAGGTGAAGGCTCTGCTCGTTGGCGGGATGCGGGGTAGTAAGGGGAGGGAAGGGGCTGAAGAAGCATGGGAAAGATGGTGGATGCAGAGCTGGAGGGTCCTTGAGAACCAGGCAGACTGTCGTGCCCCAGCTGAGACCATGTCCCATCCTCCTGGGAGGCTGAGGGTGCAGAGGACAGCCATGCCCTCCTCTCCGGACCTCAGCTGCCCCAACTGTGAAATGTGGGTACAGAGCCCTCTCAGGACTGCCATGAGGGCTGGGAATAACTGGTGGGTAAAAATGCTTTATAAGAGTCCAGCACTGTGGGAAAAATCAACACACATTTGAGCACCCGCTGATGAGCAAGCCAGGTGCTGAGCACTTTCATACTAACTTCATCTAAGATAAACATTTTATGCTATTAATGGTATTCATTCATGGTCAAATATACTACTAAGAGAAGGAGGGGGGCCCTCTCCTCTCATAGCTCTTAAGCACACTCACTGCTTGGCAGTTAGATAACTTCTGCCAGACTTCTGGGGTACAAAGCTTCGCTTCTCTGGATCCTAAGCAAGTTGGGCTTTCAAGTCAGGGTGAGACAGAAGCCCCACTGCCAGGACAAGTCAGCCCCCTCCACCCCAGCCCCGGATTAATTAGTCCACATTTTGTACTAATCCATACTAATGGTACTAATTTGAGACTACACATTGCAAACAACCTGGCCCCAAATAGCATCTCTTAAACTCAGGAAAATTCTGCTTCTTGAACTTGCCCCACAACGGCCACCACTGTAGATATCTAGGAGGGCGTCTTCTCTGAGGACATAACATCTGCCCTGAAGCAGGGTTAGGTTCAGACAGCTCAGAATGTCTGCCCCTTCAAGCTCAGGTCCTCCAGTGCTGTTTGCCAGTCCCAGTGGCTCATCACCTCCATGCCCATTTCTAAGCTGCCAACCTGGATGCCTCACTCTTAGAATGTGTGGGGTCATTTTGATGAAAGTGTTAGTCTGAATATTTGAAAATTCAGGATCTATGCTCAGCTTGAGCATTTTAGGAACATGAAAAGAGCAGGGAGAATAGAGCTGTGTGTAAGGGCCTTGGCACCAGATAGGTGGATCAGGGTGGAGTTTTTCAGTGTTGGTGTTGTTGACCTTTATGACCACACAGTTCTTGCTGTGGGGCTATCATTCTTTGCCCAGGGATATTTAGCAGCATCTCTGGCCTCTACCCAGTAGATTCTAGCAGCACCCCACCAGAAATGTCTCCACACATTGCCAAGTACACTCTGGGAGACAAGTTCCCCCCTCCCCTTGTTGAGAAATACTAGATTGAAGAATAATGGCCATTTCTGATCCTTTGACAAAGGTATATTGAAGAACAGTTTGAAAGAAGGGTACTGTGCAAGTCAGTCTTTCGCGTTGCTGGGACAAAATACCTGACAGTCGCAACTGCAAGGAGAGGTTTATTTTGGCTCACAGTCAATGGGTTCAGTCTATGGCTGGCTGGCTCCAAAGGAGAGATGACGCAGTGGAAGGACATAGTAGAGGAGAGCTGCTTGCATCATGGCAACCAGGAAGCAGAAAGAGAAGGGAGAAGCCAGGGACAAGAATTCACCTTTCCAGGTCACACTCCCAGTGACCTCCAGCGAGGACCTATGTCTTAACAGTACATTTACCTACTGAACGTTTATCAGTGGATGAACCCATGATCCAATCATTTCCCAAACATATGAGACTTTTGGGAAACATTTTATATCTAAACCATACAGGTACTAAACTGAAACCCAAGGTTTCTGTTAGAGATTTTGGACAGAGAGCATTTCCTCATCCTGAGAATCATAAGAAGAAATTTATGTCCAGCAAGTCTCTACCTATATGACTAGTGTAGTGCCTTCATCTCTTTTCTGTTGCTATAACAAAATACTTGAGGCTGGATAATTTACTGAGAATAGGTGTTCATTGATCTCATGTTTCGGAGGCTGGGAAGCCCAAGAGCATGCCGCTGGATTCTGCAGAGGGCCTTCTTGCTACATCAAAACATGGCAGAGGACATTACATGGCCAAACAATCTTGTAACAAAGCCACTCCCAAGATCACCCATTAATCCATTCATTCATGAATTAATTAATTCATTCTTGAGGGCAGAGCCCAATCACCTCCCACAGGCCCTATCTCCAAATGCCATTAACATATGAACTTGGAGGTTAAGTTTCTAGCACACGGAATGGGGAACACATTCAGACCATATCAGTGGGTTCCTGGAGCCAATTAAGTGAACAGCATGCCTTTGGCAGGGGGAGATTCCAGACTACAGGAAAAATCAGATTCATAGAAAAAGGAGGAGGAGGAGAAGACTCCATTGAAATTTGACCACCTGCTGTGATCTGAGTCACCACCATTCAAAAAAAGTTCATGAAAACCACTGAAAACTGAGAACCCTGAGCCTAGGCTCTGATGTTCTATTGCACAGTAGGGTGCCCATAGCAAACAATAATGTAATGGACAATCAAAATATCCAGAAGAGGGATTTTGAATGGTCTTACCCTGAAGAAATGACAAATGTTTGAGGCAATGGCATGCTAATTACTGATTTGATCATTGCTTAATATATGCTTGCACCAAAGTACCACACTGTATGCCTTAAATGTTTACAATTATGTGTCAATTTTTTAAAAATAAACTGTAAAAAAAAGAGACGTGAGGAATTAGAGTACTAGATTAATTGTAAGTTAGAATTCTCCCTATTCATTATGTATTCATTGGATGTGGAGTAAGTGACAATCCCTGGAATTAGTACATTGGTTTGCTGGGGCCACCCTGACAAAGTACCACAGACTGAGTGGCTTGGACAACAGACAAGCATTGCCTCATAGTCCCGGCAGCTGCAAGTCCAAGATCAGGCGTTCTCAGGATTGGTTCTTTCTGAGGACTGTGAAGATCGGGTTCCCTACCTCTCTCCTAGCTTCTGGTGCTTGCCGCAACCTTTGGTGTTCCTTGGCTTGCAGTCCACCTCCCCCCCTCTCTGTCTCCATCGTCACAGGACAGTCTCGCTCTGTGCATGTCTGTGTCCCACTTTCCCCTATGTGTAAGGACATCAGTCACATAGAGCAGTGTGACCGCATCTGAGCTAACCAGTTCTACAAGGATGCTGTTGCCAAATAAGGCCACATTCATTGTACTACTGAGGTACTAAGGTTGAGAACTTCAATATGTGAATGTGCAGCTGGGGGGCACAACACAATGCATAAGAAATGGAGATATAAAGAAAATGTGTTAAACATCCCTGTCCTATAGGAATTCAATCTAATAATCCTACTTGTTTTTTTAAAGCATGAAGAATGCTAGCAAAGTGTTCAAAGCCACGCAGCTCCCAGTGCTGTGGTCCCGTGGGTGTCGTAGCAACCTGCCCATCACCTCCAGGGGAGGCTGAGCCCTGTGACTCTCTTGTTTGTCAAAGCCTAACAGAAGATATTGGTCCTGCAGAATTTAGAAAAGGGCGGAATCCCACTGACTTCAGAAGTCACTGGTGACATGTGGCCTGCTTGGGCACAAACCTGGTGCTTCTGCCAGTTCCCATTCTCTCGGGTCCACAGTCCTGGTTTCCTTGGCCACTCAGCACCGAGCAGTCTCCATCCTGTTTCAGTTTTCACACCAAAGCCAGAAGATGGACCCACCTGTCCCCTTCCACACACAGGGTTCAGGAGGAAGGAATTCCGCGGGAAGCTGGCCATCGCCATCACCGCCAACTTCATCAACAGGAACAGCACGGCTGAGGCCAAGGTGGAAGAGATTAGCGGGGTGGCCTTCATCTTCAATCAGAAATTCTTTCAGGACCTGAAGGAGGAAACAGGTGAGCCTTCCACTTTCCAAAGCTGGCCCTTGTCTGTGATTTTTTTTTTTTTTAGTACTGGGGATCGAACTCGGGACCTTGCGCTTTCGAGGCAGGCGCCAGAACCACTGAGCTAAATCCCCGGCCCTGTCTGTGATTTTTAACAGGCACAAAAGGAAATGCTGACTTCTAGGGCTCCTCAGTTCAGATGTGTGCAAGCAGAGACTTCTCCTTAGGATGGCCAGGGTCCTTCAAAAGACAAGAGAGATTCTTGAGAGAACCTTCTGGATATTGTACATGAAAATAGATTACAAACAGAAAATAAACAAGAATTTATTTCTTCAGTAGACTACTGACTGTGCTTTGTATGCTGGTGCTCAGGACTATGGGGTACAAATTAAGGTTGACATGGTCCATTTGAACTAGCTCCCTGTCTAGGGAGGAAACCCACATACAGACCCCCCCCGCCCAGGCAAGGTGGTCAGGTATTCTGGGGGCAGTGTGAGATACAGGCAGCTCTCTGAGGAGGGAGCCAGCAACCAGTGGGTGGTACCTAAAGAAGCCTAGGTGCTTTAGTGTCTTGCATCAGCTGCCCCTTCCAATGAGGGACATCTAGGGAGACCACCTTGGCAGCCATTGTTACCAGCCTAGAGGACAGAGGGCACTGATTCATCCACTCCACAAATATTTATTGAACGCTTCCTGCATGTCAGATGCTGTTCTTGGGCCCGAGCTGGAGCAGTGAATGAAACTAAATAAATCCCTCTCTCCTGGGACTTATATTCTGTGGGGGTAGGTGGCCGAGAAACAAATAAACAAGTGATGCATCTGGTGGTGATAAAGATGGTGGAGGAGAACAAAGCAGGGTGAGGGGAAGGAGAGGAGTGAATGACCTTTCCCATTCAAGTAAATTCCAGATTTTTTTCTTTTCTTTTTAACCTTACTAAAAATGTGTATTTTTCTTTGAAAAGGCAGTCTAATGACAATGTTAAATGCAATCTTTATACCAAAAATAAATCACCCTCTGTGTGACCACCTAGTACAGCAACAGTCCTCGTGGTCATAGAATCCTCTCTGGTCATTTCCCACCTGCACACTTAATTATTCATGGCTCTAGCACTAATCCTAGTCCCCACATCCTTTGCTATTCTGCTTTGTTCATTCAGCATCACATATTAAACTTTGTCCACAGTTCTCCTTTGCCCATTTAACATTGCATAATCCTTCTGCTGGTCACTTTTGGAAACCTCAGGATGTGTCACCACATATGTAAGTCCACCTAAGTATCGCGGCTAAGAAGAGGCAGAATATGGCTGGCCACGTTTTTTGAAGAATGCTTGTATACTTTTAAAGGACTGAAGAAAAAAATCAAAAGAATAATATTTTGTGATGCATGGAAATTATATGAAATTCACATTTCAATGTCCATAAATACATATTGGTCGTAAGTTTATTTACATCGTTGTCTGTGACTGATTCCCCCATAAGTGCTTATGACAGAGACCACAGAGCCCATGAGGTCAGAATGTTTACTATCTGGCCTTTTATAAAAATAAATCTGCTGACCTGTAATTTAAACCTTGCATTACTGTTCTAGGTGAGACTCTTTCTGTTGAATCTTTTCTCTCAGCTCATTTTCTAGGAAGAGGACTTGTGGGTGAGCCACATGGCTCTTGCTGACCACAGTGATGTGTGCCCATCCCCTGGCCTTCAGAGTTCCTCTATAGTAGCATTATTTTTAGTTGTTTTTCAATTTGTGTTTTTATTAGTGTACCTGTGCAGTACGTAATAATTATGTTCATGTAGGGTGCTGGTGCATGTATGTAACAGATCGCAATTCTTTTTTATTCCCTTCTTCTGCCCTCCTCCCCACTCCCTCCCTTTCTTGGTCCTCTTCCCATTTGCAAAAGATCTATCTCCCTGTTTCCTATTGCCTATCTCGTAGTTTGTCCTTCAATTTATTTATACTTTGGGTTTCTCATATAAGAGAAGCCATGCAATATTTAAGCTCGGGTGTCTGATTTATTTTACTTAATATTATGGTCTCACGGTGCATCCATTTTCCTACAAATGACTCAATTTATCCTCCTCTGTGGTAGAATAGTACACCACTGTGTGTAAATATCACATTTTCTTTATCCATTCACCTATCAGTGAGCATATAGGCTGCTTCTGAGGCTTAGCTATTATGAACTGTGCTGCTATAAACATGACTATGCATGTATCACTGTAATATGTTATCTTCAACAGGGAAAAAGGAACCCTTCTACATTGTTGGTGGCAATGTAAACTAGTACAACCATCATGGAAATTAGTATGAATATTCCTCAAAAAAATTAAAACTAGAAATTCCATTTGACCTCACTCTTTCCCTTCTGGGTATCTTCCAGTTGCATTATTTTAAAAAAAACTTTTAATATTTGCTTCCAGCATATTACATCTTTTTGAATGATTTAAGAAGGCCCTTCCTTCCCCTCAAAATCCAAGAAAATAAATATTTAAACCACCAAATGTAAATTATGACAGGCCATTGAGTGTGTTTCTCCAGCTATTTTAATGAGCTTCCTTTAAACTCTGCTGTGGTTGTCACCTTCGGCCACTGTTTCACAGCAGTGCACTCACGCAGTGACAGCGGTGGTGAGTTTCCTCTGATTCTCTTGGGGGCCCTCTGCACTGAGGGCTGTTTCCTCTGTAACTGTCAGAGGGCATTCCTGAGGTTACCCAGCCCGCCTTGTGTGGGATGCTGATGGATTGTCAAGTATCTGCTTCTTTCCCTTCAAAAAGCTGTGCCAGGACTCGGTGTCTAGCTCAGTGGTAGAGCCCTTGCCTAGCATGCGTGAGGGCCTGGGTTCCATTCCTAGCACTGCCAAAAAAAAAAAAAAAAGTGCTAAGCCAGTGGTTCTCAAACTCCAGTGTTCATCATAAGAGGTTGTTAAAACACAAGGTGCTGGCGCTGTCCCCAGAGTTTCTGATTCACTGGGTCTGGAGTGTGGCCTTGATCATTTGCTTTTGTACTAAGTTCTCTGATGAGCTGGTGCAGCTGGCCAGGACTGTGCTAAGCTCTCATCTCACAGTATGGTTTTCAATGCAGAAAACTAGTCTTTAAGAGGGTTTTCAGTTGGTAGAAAGTGCAAGACACAACCCTGGCCTCTAAGCTAAGTCATTCTTTCCACTGGGTTTTCATGGACAAGCAGGGAGATAGAGGATTCCCACAGCTCTGTACAACTCTGCCCACATGAAGGGCATGGAAGATGGGACTTGTAGCCATACAGGCTTGGATTCTAATTCTGCTGCATCATTGCTTAGCTGCTATGGCCATGACTCGACCTTCTGCAACACTTTTTACCCAGCTGTGGTTCACAAATCCCTATAGACATTTATGAGTTTGAGAAGAAACAGTGTCTTCCTGTGACTATAAAAGCTAGCAGCTTTGACTTGGGAAACTTCTGGTCTTCTGCTTTATCTTTCCCAGCCTTGTACTGTATGTCTCAAACATTCATCTCACGTGAGTATTCCACAGATAAGCAATGAGACCTGTAACGAAGCAGAGACATCATTGGCACTGAGTGGCATACAGTGGGGACTGAGGAAGTAAACTAAGTCTATTATTGCTTCTCTTTTCAGGGATTGATCTAGAGAACATTGTTTACTACAAGGACTGCACCCACTATTTTGTCATGACTGCCAAGAAGCAGAGCCTGCTCGACAAAGGTGTCATCATCAATGTACGTACTTCTTAGCTGTGACCGCTCATGTGTCTTTCCCCCTGTGTCGGGGCTGGCAGCGTCAGTGGCCAGTGTGGGAGAAGACCTTGTCCTGCCCGAATAGGGAAGTGGGTGAGTGGACCACTTGCCCACCACCTTCTTTGCCCTCGGCATTACATGACCCCTACACAGAGAGATGTTTCTGCAGAGGTGTGTGGTACCCAGGGTAATGTGGACCAGCCGAGTCTTTGCCTTCCCCAAGTCTCATTCAGCCCTGCCCCTTCTCTGCAAGGTCATATGTCACTTGGAGACAGATGGGGTTCCTTGTCCTGCTGGGACATACTTGTGGGTTTTTCACCGGGTCCTCCTGTTGTGACATGGGGGAATGTCACCACTGATACAGTCAGAAAGACATGAGCTGAAGCTTGGCTCTGCCTCATACTGACTCAGGATCCTGGGCAAGTGTTTATATTTTTTTTGAACCTCAGTCTTCACATCTGCCACATAGGAGTGATCACTTCTGTCTGAAAGTGTTCTTGAGAAGGGCAAGTAGATATATGTGTATGTACAGAGCACCTAGCACCGCCTGGCATGCGGTGGGTGTGTAAATTCCCCCTTCCCTTTGCCCTTATTTGGATACCTGCTCTGGTGTGCTGTGGCCTTCTTATCTCCTGCTCTGTGGCTCTGCATCTGCTGGTGTAAACAGGGAATGGAGCTGGGAGGAAGAACCCTGTTGAGTGTCGGTCCTTGGGTTGGCAGCTCCATAGGTCAGGCTTCAGTCCTTGCAGAGCCGAGCCCTATTCGTGCTGCTGCTGCTGCTGCACCTTCAAGATAAGGACCATGCAGCCCCAGGCCAGCTGCTCTCCCGGGTGTCAGCCTAGCAGACAGCTCGGGGACCATTCCCTGCAGCTTATCAGGGAAGAATGTGCCTGTCTCCTCATTAGTTTGTGCTGGCAGCCGCCCAGGCATGTTGGTAATCCAGCCTTCCCCAGGGCCTCCTCTACATGGGCTCGGGTCTTTGCTGAGACCTGATCCGTGGCTGGACACTGCAGCCGGCTCAGGTAGAGCTGGCAGAGCATGGCAGCTGAGGTGTAGGCACTGGGCTCCGACTGTGGAGCCCGCTTCTAGCTGTCAGTCTGGGGAGGTGGCGTCCTGTCTTCCCCTAGGTATTCCCCTAGGGTTGTCCCCTCGTTCTGGCCTTTGTCGGACAGGACAAGGCCATTCTGGGGCCCAGGGCTGTGGCTGTGATGGGTGCCTTTGCAGAAAGGGACCTGTGTAGTCAGGCAAAGTGTGGTCCACTGGCCAAGTTCTCCAGCCTCCTGCCATGCTAAGGTCACCTGGGGATCATCTCAGGGCCTTTGTCTTGGCAATGACAAGTGTTTGTGGCACCTGGCTCCTTAGAAGGGGTCAAAGCCCTTCCACATTCCCATCTCTGGCATAGGACAGCTGGAAGAGAATGACTCGCTCCGCCTCATTGTGACCCTGGATGAGCTGGAAGTGACTCCCACCTCCAATCAGGGGGTCTGCTCCCTCTGCCACCCACCCACGTACCGGAGACCCCAGGGCAGGTGGGTGCCCATCCACATCCAGCCTGGAGGTCGGCTCTCTCCGCCCACTCCCCACCGTCCTACGTGGGGTGCTCACCCCAGACAGTGTCTTCACTGTATAGTGTTTACACTCACAGCTCACCCGGTCCCCTTTGTGGGGCTGGGCCTGTCATGGGGAGGGGAGATGTGTGAGATCGCACCGTGTGCTCTTCCCCCACCTCATCTCCACACCTTCAAGGACACAGTGAGCACGTGACTCCAGGAACAGGTACCAGAAAGGAAACGGGTACCAGGAACTCCATCCTGACCCTGGGCTCCTGAGCTGATGTTGGATATGATATTGTAGGGGTGTGTGTGTGGGGGTGGATGTGGAAATATTAGATTTTCCCAAACGATGGATTTGAAGTCAGAAAAGTAAAATAAGAGGTCACCGGGTGTGGATGAGGCTGTGCCTTGCTGCCACCTCGATGGGTCCCAGTGACACTTCACTGTATGCCACCTGCTGCGCCGTCATGAATTACTGGGACAGGCATTCTCATTCCCTGAGCACATCCTCCGTGCCAGGCATGGGGTTGGAGGTTTTGTGTACACAGTGTCACACAGTCCTGGTGGCTCTGAAGTACATTTTATTGTTCCTATTATATAAGCGAGAAAATAGACTCAGAACTAAGTCAAACAACTTACAAAACTTATACAGTGGACCCTCGAGTTACAACTGGCCTGACATATGAACAACTCAGGTTATGACTGGAATTTTAGTCTTGATTTACGACCCAAATCCTGGCTACTTATGCTTCCAGATGGTCTCAGATACAGATTTAACCCTTAAAGAGTTCTGGAAGGTGCATTACAACACCCTCTCTTGTGTGGGTTAATTGAGAAATCCTGGGCCAATGCTCTCTAAGGACACTGAGATCTGCCTGGATACAGAAGAGAGACTTTGAAGGCTGTGTAGAGAAAGGAGCCTGAGCCTTCATTGACCAACCTGAGTTACAACCAGCCCTCACGAACAAACTGAGTTTGTAAGTCAAGGGTCCACTGTAGTTAATGGCAGCTGGGATAGAATTTGACCCACTGCACTGGCTAACCCCACGAGCTGCATTCATCTTCCACCCTAGTCCTCCTCCCCACCAAGGTGTGTGTGCTTTTTGTGTCATCTTTGGGAAATGCGGCCTTTTAGCTTCTTTGGCCACAAGATGACTAGACTCTGAGCAGATCAGACTCCTAGAATCCCCTCAACTTTCTCCTTTCTCTTTCATCCTGTCCAACATCACCAGCATGGCTTTCCTAGTCCTCTAAGCTGAGTCTCCACCCCCAGGAGGGAAGTAGAACAGTGAACACCCTAACAGCAAAACCAAACTGTTTGCAGCCCTCAACCTCACTGGAAGAGGAGTAACTGAATCTGGAAAGGAAGTGAGAGAATTACGTCAAGCATCTATTTCTTTTTTCCTGGTCTTGTTTGACTGCTAAGCACAGCAGTCTGGAGCACATTAACTTAACCCAATCCATTATTAAGTCACATTACTGACTTGCTCTTTTGTCTTTTAATCATATTAAAAGGTATCACAAGAGCCAGCCGTACGAAATGTTTTCCTTCTTTGTTGCAAGACCATTATAAAGAACACTATTCATGACAACTCTGTGCTCTGTTGAAATTCCGAGTGAGACAGATCTTTTAGAATTTAGTGCCAGGAAAAGATTGCCTCCCCGAGGAACTGCTATGCTTCACTTCCTTCTTTCTGATAAGGAAAGCCCTGTAACATATCACATTTCCTTTTTGCCTTGGATTCCAGGAAGCTCAATGCCAAATTTGATGCTTAATCACAGCTGTGTTAACCCTCACAGCTGGCTGATTTGCTTCTGCCTTATGTCTTCTTGGCTCTGACTTTCTGTCTCTGCTTGGACTAGCCTCACTGTATCGACCCATTCCCAGTCCCTTTGCCTAAGAGTGGATATGAATCATAGCCCCTTGGAGCCACAGGTTGCTGCACTGGGTTTTGCTCTTTCCCAGGACTACATCGACACGGAGATGCTGCTGTGTGCTGAGAACGTGAACCAGGACAACCTGCTGTCCTATGCCCGGGAAGCTGCAGACTTCGCCACCAACTACCAGCTGCCATCCTTAGACTTTGCTATGAACCACTACGGGCAGCCCGACGTGGCCATGTTTGATTTCACCTCCATGTATGCCTCAGAGAATGCTGCCCTGGTGCGCGAACGGCAGGGACACCCGCTGCTCGTGGCCCTTGTGGGCGACAGCTTGCTTGAGGTACTGCCTGTGTTGGAGTCCCTCGCTCCTGCTGCAAGATCCCCTGCGTTTAGGCTCTGCGTGGCAGCATCTGCTGTCACACATCCCGGGGAAGGGCAGGCTCTCGGCCAGAGGCAGGACTCTGCCAAGGCTGCCTGGCCCCGGAGCCTGCCCTTTCACTCAGTTCCCAGGCACCTGTCTGCTTGTGTGCAGGTGGCAGAGCTTTCTCTCCTATCTCAGGCTTTTTCTGAGCTGAGTTGTTGGAGTACCAAATTGGGTAGCCCTGTCTGGACCACAGGGCCATCCCCCTCAGAGCCTTGAGAGAGCCTTGAGCTGGGCCGAGACTTCTTCCTGGTGTGGGTGACCCTTTGTGGCCTTTCAATGTGGAGATCTTACAGGGTACAAGAGAGGTGTGGGAGCCCTGAGGCCCAGTTTTCCTGCCATGGCCTCCTTGTTCAAATCTGCACGCACAAGGACCCTTAGATTAAATGAATATTTTCAGAAGAGATAAAATTTTATCTTAATGTAAGCACTGAACAATGTTTCTGTATTTGTCCCCGGTTAAGAGTCAAATTCCAACCCATGCTTCGTGGGTGCTGGTGGAGCGAGTTAGACAGCTTGGCTGAATTGCTCCTTGCTCACTGCTGCACGTGGATGCACAGCTCGGCCCCTGGGTCAAGCCCTCAGCACCCATCTGCTTCGCTGTGCTACGCCCACCCAAACAGGCTCTTCTCCCATCAGGCTCCAGCATTTTCTGGGCACTGTGGCTCTGCCCACGCTGCTCCAAATGGCTCAAATGGCTCAGGATTAGAATCCTACCAGATCTTTAAAATCAACATAAATACAGCTCTTCCATGAAGTGTTTCCTGATTTCTCTCTCCTTCTCCTGCACCCCCTAGCAGCTGTGCTGTACATGTGTCACAGCACCCTCGGCAGCTACAGCTGCTTGTGCTTGTAGCAAAGCTTGTAGACAGCAGGGATCCTGCCCTGTCACCTCCCTGTCCCTCCAGTGCCTTGCTCAGGGCTGGCAATCTGAGAGTACTGGGCAGAATGGGACAGTGCAGAACGGGAGGCATTTGTATCAACCAGAATTGCGCATGTGTTCTTTTGCAGCCATTTTGGCCCATGGGTACAGGCTGTGCCCGTGGCTTCCTGGCGGCCTTTGACACAGCGTGGATGGTGAAGAGCTGGGACCAGGGGACTCCTGCCCTGGAAGTGCTGGCCGAAAGGTGGGTTTTGAGAGCAGTGGTCCTGGCAGGAGGCAGGCTGGGTCACAGTCTCAGGCATGAGTTGGGTCAGAGCAGCTGAACCTGGAGTCTCCATCTTGGGCTCATCTACCTTCCCGCACGTGGCCTGACTGCATCATCAGGTCCTCAGGGACACTCTCCACCCTGGTGCTCCGCCTTCCCTGTCCTCCTGTGGTAGCCAGGGTCTTAGGCCCTGCATGCCCAGCATAAATCTCCCTCAAGGGTAGCCCTAAAGCTGGGGCTCGCGGATGTTTCTCATTCACCTGAGGCCCAGAGAGGTTTATTTAAGGGAGTCTTCCAGGACCAGGACGGTGCAGGGGGTCTAGTCCTGGGTGGGGCTCTTTGACCTCCCAGGCCTCTCCCATGGCTAAGACCTTGGGCCTCTTCCCAGACCCCAGCTGTTGGCCACCTGGCTGTGGCAGCTGGTGGACTTGGAGAAGCCGGGGTGGTGGGGAGGCAGCTTCTCGTGTCTTGGGTGTAGAGGCCTAGCGCCATGGGGGGCTGGCCGCAGAGGGCAGCGTAGCCAAGTTGTGATCATAGAGGAACCGAAGATCACTGTGCTTGCAGCCCTGGGTCCCTGCCTGCTGCCCGGGGGAGGAAGCCAGCATCCTGCCGCCCAGACACCCCTTCCCCTCCACCCCTTGGCCCTCCTTGCATTTTGCAGATCTAAGAACTGAGTGCCAGGCGTGTCAGGGGAGGACCCGGCAGACACAGCCAGAAGCCCTGGAACCAGGGGCATGGGGAGAAGAGGGTGGGGCCAGGGCCCGAAGTGGCGAGAGCAATCCGTGACCTCTGTGCTCTGCCCCCCAGAGAAAGTCTTTACCGGCTGTTGCCTCAGACAACCCCGGAGAACATCAACAAGAACTTTGAGCAGTACACGCTGGACCCAGGGACGCGGTACCCAAACCTCAACTCACACTGTGTCCGGCCCCATCAGGTAGGCCCATCCCTGGAGCCCGGCCTGGGTCACCGCACTGAGAGGAGGGAAGCGAGTCTCTCACAAGGTCTCGGCACCTTCCCAGGACTGAGGCCAGCAAAGCCTGTTGGCCCAAAGATAGGACCAAGTCCCCTCCCAGGAGACGCAGGGTTATGAAGCAGACAGCATTCTTTCTAGCCCACAGGAGGCCCTAGAACATGCATGGGGTGTGTCTATGCATGTTTATTCCCATATTTGCATATATTAACATATGCTAATTTGGTGCTATGAATATGCAATGTGATTATGCTCCTCTCAAATAATCTATTAGACCAAATATTCTCTTTCTTATCCCTCACGGTTCCGGACTCTTTTGTTTCTCCCTTTGATTCATGGAGAAACACCTGAATCCAGTCCCCACTTTCTTCAGTCACTAGAACAGAGAATGGTGTGAATTTTTTAAATTACCCAATGAGATACACTCACCCTCTGTTCCCCATATTTGGGTGAACCATTGAGGACCCCTGTCTATACCCCATTTGCCTGGGGTCCCTGCTAGGGTCACGCCACTCAGCACTGCAGGCCAGCAGGGGGCCAGGCAGTGAGTAGTGCATAGGTTGAGCAAAGAGCCCTGAAACTGGCATTGGGGAAACTGGTGGCCGCGTGTGCAGTATCTCTTGCTTGTAGGTGAAGCATCTGTACATCACCAAGGAGCTGGACCACTACCCTCTTGAGAGACTCAACTCAATGAGGAGATCCGTCAACCTCTCCAGGCGGGGTAAGTCACCCTCCTGGGACCCTGGCCAGGTCACTGAGACGGGCTTTGCCCAGGGCAAGTCTGTCCAGGAGCCCTGGAGATGCGGCTCTGCAGCCTGTTACTTGTGTGGCCTTGGTCAGATGCCTCTCCTCTCCTCATGAGTGCTGAGCTTCCTCATTGGAATGACCAAGAGCAGAACAGCCCCTTCCTGCAGGAGCCCTGGGAGGATTAGAGAGTCCATGTGTGTCGAACACTTGGCACGGCAAAGTGAACTGTGGAATGGCCTTTCAGGCTTGTTCTGTTTTTCTCCTTGTTCTAGTGTGGCAATCTCATCTTCCCAATTGGAAGACAAGCTCTGTGGGCTTCACCTTCCTTCTGCTCCTCCTAGGCCCAGCAAAACTCTGGGCGTGGGCTGGTGCCTGATGGCAGGAGAAAGGATGGCTCCATGAGTAACTTGGCCTCCAGTTTCCCTCAGGTCCCTCTCTGCCCAGAGACGCTCTGGCTACCTCTGCCTATCCAGACCTTGCTGCCTGCCCCTGGTTAAGCGAACCCAGCCTCCCTCCCTCCTTTCCTCTGCATGCCATGTGCCCCGCTGCTATAATAACACTGTTTACTGTAATAAACCATTTTACTGTTATACAAACATGCCAGGGATTCTACATTCTTGCCGCTGCCCAGTCCTGTTTTCCTGGAATGCTTTCGTCTAGCCAGTAAATTCCTGTCACTCCTTAAGAGCCAGCTCCAGTGCACCTGCCTGGACACTTTCTATGGAGAGTGTCCCTCCTGGGGCCATCTCAGGGCAAACCTGCTCTTGTGCTACCCAGAGTGGCTTCTCTGCGTTGCAGCACCATGTCCTCATCATCCACTGTTGTTGGCAGAGTCTGTGTCCCTAGCCTCCAACCCAAGGCCTGGCCAGCATCCTGCTAGGGGACAATGTGCTTCCTGTTGAGCATCTTGTCCTTCAAGCAGCTCTTGAGCCAGCTCCCATAGAGCAGCCCCCAGAGGGCTATACCCGTGTCTTGCTGTCTTGCCATGCTGCAAGCAGTGATGGCAGTAGGAGGGGACAGCCAGAGGGAACCCTGAGAGCCCCCAGACCTCACTGCCTATGCCTTCTCCCTGCAGAGTCAGATATCCGGCCCAGCAAGCTCTTAACCTGGTGCCAGCAGCAGACCAAGGGCTACCAGCATGTCAATGTCACTGACCTGACCACATCCTGGCGTAGCGGCCTGGCCCTCTGTGCCATCATCCACCACTTCCGGCCGGAGCTGATGTGAGTTGGGGGCCCAGGCTGAAGCCTGGGGACAGGGGAAGTTGAGCCCTCCCTGCTGGATGCAGGACCACCACCCACGCCTGTTCAGTGGTTTCTCTGCATATCTCAATTAGAGTTTCCTCTTCCGCTTGTTCTTTCCTTTCGCACGGACCGTGCCCTGTCAGTAGACTTTCTGACCTGTGTCCCCAGTGCGCAAGGATAAAACTGGGCTCAGGCTCGGACAGTGCACGTGCACTGCAGTTGCCACACTTCAGCAATCTGAGCGTTTGTACCTTGGAGCCCTGCCTCGGGAGAGGAAGAAGGGGCCTGACCTAGCTCTGGGGACTGGTGTGAGGAATAGTTAGGTGTGGCACCCAGATCTACCAGCTGGCTGCCACTGAGCAGCCACAGCAGTTCTCTGAGCTTTAAATTCTCCACCTGTGCATTGAGAATAATGGCTGGGCCTTGGAGACTGAATTACACATGTGGAAACACTTCAGAGAAACAATAAAAAGAAAAGTGACTCATAAATTTCCCATCTTCTGATGTTTCGAGCCCAGGCCCAGGTATGTCATGGCCCATGTTCCACTGGGTTCCTTCCTGAGTGACAAAGGTGGATGGTTAGCATCTTCTGAGGTGGTGATGTAGGGATTAGGAGCAGGAGGTGGGGTCCCAGTCCCTGGCTAAGTGTCATCCCCAGTGTTCCCTATGGGTAAATGGGCTCAGCTCATCCCACCTCTTCCTGAACTTCTTCTCCACTCTAATGATTCTCCAGCAACTTTGACTCTTTGAATGAAGATGATGCTGTAAAGAACAACCAGCTGGCATTTGATGTGGCCGAACATGAGTTTGGGATCCCTCCGGTGACCACAGGCAAAGAGATGGCATCAGCCCAGGAGCCTGACAAGCTCAGCATGGTCATGTACCTCTCCAAGTTCTATGAGCTCTTCCGGGGCGCCCCGCTGCGGCCTGTGGGTAAGCACCCACGAGGGACTCTGCCCAGCCCCTGGGCCGTCTCTGTCCTCAAGCCCAAGTCCGGCTTCTCCTGACACTGATGTCATCTGCTCTGCAGCTGCCCAGTGCCTTCTCCTTGAGTTGAGGCCAAATGAGGACTCTGGACTCTGTGTCTGTAGTCTGTCTGGGGGCTACCATGAGGGGCTCCCCTACTCCATCATGGGGAGGTCACTGTTAGGCCCCAGAAGTCTCCCTGCTTAGGCCATTTACAGCTTTAGTTCAGGGTATGGGAATTTTGTTAGGGGACCTTAACACAACAGCACTGTGCTTACAAACAACACCTCCTGGACCCAGAGATCCAAATCTCAGTTGTACTTTTATTTCCCAACAGATTCTTGGCGCAAAAGCTATGGAGAAAATGCCGACCTCAGTTTTTCCAAATCCTCCATTTCTAATAACTATCTCAACCTCACACTTCCCAGGAAAAGGACCCCTCGGGTAAGCTTCAGGCTGGTTTTGGTTTGCTTCCTCATTGCATGTGGCCACTTGGCCAGGGTGAAAGGAGGGACTTTCTTGGCCTTAGCCTGTTGGTGCTGATACATTACACAGATGAAGCACTCACAGAAGATGTGTGCAAACTTGGTTTAGTGGCAGAGTGTTTGGAAGCTCTCCCTGGCACTGGGTGGCTGGCTTTAGTGACTTATTAGTTATAGGGACTTCGTTCTAGGGTGCTGGAAAGCACAGAGGACACATGGGTAAGCACTTTTTAATGTAAACCAGATTTGCTCCTCCTCCTCCACAGTTGCAGTGAGATGATTTCTACTTTGTTAAGCAATTTAGATCGGGGTGAAAGGCATGGTGGTGATGTTACATTTACACATCCGCTTCATTAATGTTGTTTTATCCATGGATCCGCTAAGTGTTGATTGGGCCCTACTATATGCCAACTTTAGAGGTGTCACTTTTGTTTGTTTTTGGCAAGAGAAGCAAATATGCAAAAGTGAATAATACACGGTGTTTGGCTTTGAGGAGCTCAGAGCCTAATAAATAAGTTTCTAAACTTATTTATTCCAAGCTAGCACCCTTAGTGTCTGTGTAACTTTTGTCATGGTGCCCTTAGCCAGCATCTCAGTGGGAGATACACGGCTTCTTGGGTAATGTGCTCATTTTACAGATACAAACGGAGGCCAGAGAGGCTGATGCCCTGCCCCAGGTGACACACTGCTTCATGGTCCATTGCTTTGCCGCTACACCATGCATCCTTTTGCCACTCACTAGTTCATTCATTCAGAGGGATTTAGCCATCGTGTGTCCCAGGATAAGACACGCAGATGCGATTCGAGGCTGGGCCTTAGGGTCTAGCTGGGAAGTAAGAGAGCAGCAAGGCTAAGAACCTCGGGGAACAAGAGAATTCAAGAGGCTGGCAGAGGCAGAGTGGCTGGGAGAGATGAGGAGGGATGGTCAGAAAGACAGGCAGGGAGTTGGACAACCCCGGAAGAGAGCATTTCCACATTGCAGCTGGGCACATGTTGTACCCCAGGGAAGCCAGGCAGGGTGAGAACTGACAACAGGCAATGCTACGCAGTTTGAGGCATTGGGGCAGAAGGCAGGTGTCAGAGGGGCGGGACTGCAGTGTGTGTTTATGGGTGAGCGTGGGGACAGCGGAAAGGGACCATGGGGAATGGGGCCAGAGCTTGGCCCCTGGCCGGATCGGCAGCCGGGGCGGGTGGTGGGAAGTACCCCACTTGGAGCTCACCATCCTGCAGCCTCAGTGCGTCTCCGAGCCTCCCAGGCCTGCCTTGTCCTGCCAGTCTGGGCCCAGGGAGCAGCGGGGCCACCGTTCCTCCTTTCTTCCCCTCCACCGTGTGAACTGGGGGCAGTTTCCCACTGAGGCTGCCCTCCTGCTCCCTGGGATGCTGCAGCAGCTGTTCCCTAAGCCTCGGACCAGGACTGCTTCATGCTCCATGCCTCTGCCCCTCCCTGGCTCTAGGAAGGGATGGGCCACAGGGCCAGGCCTGGGCAAGGGAGGTTTTCACAAAGCCCTGTAACCCTCAGCTGCTCTTCCTCTGCTGCCCTCGGCCCTCAGAGCTCTCTTTGCGGGCTGTGCTGCCCCGTGTGTGCCCCACCAAGCCCGCTATGTTCTGGAGACCAGCTGCGTCTCCTTCCTCCCCCAGCCCAGCCGATCTTCCTGGGAAGCCCAAGGAGCCTTGCTTCGGGCTGCCCCGCCCCTCACATGCCCGTGCATCTTCCTGGAGCTCGTGGAGCCAGGCCTCAGCGCCTCTCTGCACTTCCCATGCTCCTCCCACACTTAGCCCCGCCGGGAACTGGAGAGGGATGTGTGGCCTTCTTCACTCGCCACACCTTTGTGTACAGTGACCGAAGTGAACAGCTGGGCCGGCTCTGGCTCAGGAGATGGGGTGGTCAGAGGCAGGAGGGAGGCCAGCCAGGCCCTTGAGGCCCTTGAGGCCCTGCTGAACTCACTCCCTCTGGCCCTGCTGGGAAGCACTCGGGAGCTGGGCCTTGGCCAGGCATATTTAATGTCTGAAATTTCCCCCGCTCTTTGGATGGGTAGAGAAATGTAGCATGGAATTTATTTATCCTTCTGTCTCTTCTCAAAACAATAGCGTGTTCCGCTGGGCAGGCAGGGGGATTAGTAAGTCTACAGGCTCACGTTCGGCCTTGGTCACGGGACCCCCTGTGTACTGTGCAGACATGAATGCGCTCCCTCCCCTCTCTGGCACATGTGTCCCAATCCTTTCGTGGCTGGGGAGCCTATTTGCAATGCTCTTAGACTTTAACAGTTCCCACACCAGAGTGCCAAGTCCACCTGGCCTGGTCCTGCATAGACACACAGGTATTTCTGCTCAAGAGGCTCTGAACCTGCCCCTCACTGGCATCTCTACAAGAGGCTGCACCACAGCTACACTGAAACAGAGCTACAGTTAGACGTGCAGCCCCTGGTGCCCAAGCTCACGTGCCCCAGTAGGATGGAGATAGAGACCAAGCCGCGTCAGAGCCCTGCCGGCCCACAATACCTGCGAGTCTAAGTCCACTGGTGTTCAGCCTCCCTCCCTGCCCCGCCCCTCCCCTGCCTCCTCCCAGGGGACAGAGCAGCTACATTTCTCAGAGTCGCATCAAATCCTGAAGTGGATTCACCGACCCCTGCTGGGCAGGCCAGGCCTTAAGAAGCTCTCTCCTGGATTTCACTATTGATATTAAATTCTTTCTTCCCTAATCTCATCTTCCTGATAACATCCAAGTCCCAGCAAGACCTATCAACTTCAAACAAAATGAAAGACATTTTCTCCATCAAGGGCCTTGTTTACTTTTAGTGAGAACAACTTTCCCCACCCCACCATGAGCAGTGGCCCATCAGGTTAATTACCTGGGAAGAGGTGAGAGCTTCAGAATTATATTTTCCTCTTACAGAGACCATGATCTGTTCTATAAATCTGCCTGCGATCCTGGTCAGATCTAAAAGCTTCTTTTCTTATTGTTTAATTTTGTTTTGTTTGTGAGACAAGGTCTGGCTAAATTTCCCAGGCTGACCTCAAACTTGAGATCTTGCCTCAGCTTCCAGATTAGCTGGGATTACAGATATGTGTCACCATGCCTGGTTAAAACCTTCTTAGCATGGGACAATTCCCTGGAGCTTTAAGGCTCTTGTCACCATGCATACAGGTGACACTTAAACCTATATCCTTAGGCTCTGTCATTTCTGCATTCATGTGTGCACACACACACACACTCACACACACACTCACACTCATACTTGTGCTACCTGTCTGTACACTGCACTCTCCTAGACCTACGGGCCATGGGCAGTGCTTGTATTTATGGGCACTACAGTCATTCTGCATAGTATATTTTACATGTATGCATATGCCAGGTGTCTGGGTTATGTCCCATTCCAAACCCACTCCCCAGAGGACAACAGGAAAGCTGTCAGCTGCCCTGAAAAGCTTATCCCAGAAGCCAAGTGAGAAGCCTCGGGATTTATCCTGCCTCGTTCACCAGGTGCTCTCCTCCAGCCCTAGTCCCTGATAGGGTGCGGTTCACACACCAGGCTCTCTCCTGTGTCCCTGTCTGGGTTGAGCGGTCCAGGCCCATCCCTGGTACCCTTCTCCTCTGTAACAGCCAAAGGTGCTATGCAAGAAAGTGCTGCTTCTGTCCATCTTGTTGTTACTTCAACAGCTGTTTATTGAGCATCTGTTTCAGGCTGAGCTCTCTTCTCACTGCTAAGGATAGAGTAGTGAGCAGGCAGGGAGCTTACCTTCTAGAGGGACTTACAAGGCTTCTCTCATGTCCCTTCCACACTTCTCTTGGAACCCCGCCCGCCCCATACCCAGTAGCTAACACTAGGTTTCCAGTGCTTCTCATCGCAGAGACTCAGAGGAGGCCTGGGAGGGCAGGGGGACCAGCTTCCAAGGCTGGACAGGCACAGGCCCCTGCGCAGCCTCTAGGACCCGTGCTCTGCATCCCACCATCCAGCTGGCTTCTCGGCCTCCTGTCACACACCCTCTGCCCCGGGAATGTGAGCAGAATTAAGATTGGAAATGTAATTTGGAGCCAGGCAGATAAACACATATTCAGGCCTTCTGGGCACTTGGGAATAGTCTAACCTCCCAGACAGCTTCTGCGTCTGTCTGTGAAATGAGGGTAGCAACGTACGCATGGGAGCACTGCTGCAAAATGGTGTGTGTGGGTATGTGCCGCAGCCCTGGCCTATGGAAGGGACATCCAGTGACATCTCCCTGCCTTCAGGGGTGCCCTCCATCGCAGCTGCTTGCTTTCTGAAAAGATAAGTAAAGCCGTTTGGATGGAGCATTGGTTCCACACAGCAGCCGTGATCCGTACAGCACTTCCCAGCCTGCAGAGCGTTTCCATGTCTGTGTCTCATTCGCCCCTCGTGCTGCCTGTGGAGGAGTGCTGGGGACACCCCCTCACCCCTGTTTCGTAGATGGGAATGTGAACTTGGGGAGATTCCGTTTTGGTAAGTGGTGGCAAGTGTCAAGGCACAAATTAGAGTACAGATGTTTAAAATTCTGTTACTAAGACTAACCCACTAATGTGACTAACACTTTTACAGTTTAACTATTTTACATCTATTTCATTAATTCTCAGAACATCTGAGGCCAGAGCAGCTGGGTGGGCATTCCCAAGCTCACACAGCTGGGAAGTAATTAGTACAAGAACACTGACCTGGGATTCCTTGAAGAACACACTCCCTTGCGAGTGTTACTGCTCATTTTCCTGAATATCATAGCTGCCACCTGACTCAAGCAGGCTATGGCCAACCTCTCTCTCTCTGACCTAGACCTCAGCTTCCACCAGAATTAGGCTGTATGAGCTAACTAAAGCTTGTTTACTTTGAGCCAAAAAATCCCATGAACTCAGGCAGTACGGGAACATGGTTATCTTATGTTAGTCAAATAAACGCTCCAATTGGCAGATACATACCTTTGATTTTGTTTTAAGGAAACCAATTAGTTTAATAAATGCCTTTTGGCATATTGAGTCTTCCAAATCCTTGGGAAATCATGATAACAAAGCATTCTTAGGGTGAGAGCTGGGAAAATTACAAGGAAAAGAAAGTAACTTATGTTGTTCTCATGCTCTCCTTGGCTGGGCACGAAAAGCGTTTGCCTCCTCTTTGTGCTTCCAGTTCTCTGTAGACTACAATAAGGTCCAAGAGGTTGTGGGTTCTGAATCAACTTTGGCTTCCAGATCAGAAAAAAATTAGATACATCTCAAGGTTTGAGTTTTCTTGACATTTCTGTTGGAACTTAGATCTGAGCTGAGAATTTGTGCTTCAATGATACAGTGGACCCTTGACTTATGAACTCCATCGGTTCCAAAGGGCTGGCTGTCACTCAAGTTTGTTAAGTCAATACAGCTGAGATCTGGATGTTTACCTGGGTACACACTATAGATAACAAGAGGCAGATGAATCTTCCCTTACTCTAATTAACCCAAGTTGTTCCTATGTCAAGCAGGTCTTAACTTGAGGGTCCACTGTAAATCCATAAGGAAAGGTCTAGGCCACTTGGGTATGTGTGTTGCTGACTTTCCCTATAGACTGCAGTTTATTGCCTCGGGCTCATGGGAGCTAAGGATTTGGGTCTTCCTGGGAGCTGCTGGCTGGGCCGTTCCCCAGGAGTGCCTTCTGGGAGCCTATGGGTAATAGGGCTGGATGGGGCTTGTCCAGGCTCTGGTGGGGTGAACAGTGCCACGCCAGGCTGTTGGTTGTGAAAGAGTAAGAGGTGTTGCTCTTGGGGACAAAAGCCAAGTCCTTGTTTAAGGGGGGAAAAATCGGAGAGCCCTAGGCCTAAGCATGAGGCATTCAGTTGGAAAGAACGTTCTGTACTTTCACAGGCTCCCGTTGTAGGGCCAGAGTGCCATTCACAGGCGTGGAGCAGGACGTCCAGACGGCCTGTGCTTCTCAGACCCAGCATTGCTGAAAATAAGGTCATCTGTTTCTCTTGGTGTTTGCCCAAGCCTTTGGGCTGAAATTATTTCCATTCACAAAATAACGATTTATGAGAAGCTGAGGAAAATGTTGGAGGGAAGGCAGAACCTTTTGATCTGTTGTTTTGTGCTGCCTGGATCAAATTTTTGAACAAATATCAATGACTAAACTGTGGTTGATCTTTTCTTTCTAAAAAAAATACAAGGTGCTGGCAAACATGAGAGGACAGGGGCGATGGGGAGTGTTTGTTGGGAGAAAGTGGGTGCACAGTGAGCTGTTCCCTGGGGTGCCCAGAGCCATTGCTGTTTCAGAGCTGCTGGCAGACAAGGACAGTAGAATTGGGATGTGTGGGGTGGGTTGTGCCAAGGTGAGTGGGAGGCCAGAAGCCCTCCTCTGCTCCCATGGGATGGGAAGGCCAGGATGGGATGTGGGCCTGCTTTGGAGAGCCTGAGGACAGGGAACTCTGCAGAAGGGACACAGGGCTAGTGGAGAGCGATCTCCTAGGAGAAGGCCCGGGAGGACCCCAAGAGGGCCAGTGTGGAGGAAGAGTTCACCCAGCAGGGTGCAGAGGAGGCCTGAATCTGGCTTCACGCCCAGCCCAGCCCCACACTCCCCCAGAAATAGCACTCCCCATTCCCTCCAGCGACAGTGAGATGGGGTTTGCCTGGGGGGTGTCCAGATTCAGGCAGCAGAGTGTGGGCTGAGAGGGTTTGTCTGTAGGGCAGCCATGAAATGTGTTGTGCAAACTCAGATACTTTGAGAGTGACGGGGTGCACTGTTGATAATCATGCTGTAAGAGGGAGGCAGTTCATCAGAACTGTCCTGGGAAACTGGGCTGCGTGGTCCCTCTAGTCCTCTTCCTATACCTAATGCTTATTGGAAAGTAATAAAATATTGCGATGGCGACTGAGTTGTGGACTTAATTTGCCAGCCTGGACAGCTCATTTGAGTCCTTTGAGTCCCATGAGTCCTAGCGAGGAATTGATGTCACCTCTTCAGAAAGGGTCCTAAGGAGCAGAGGGACCCGTGGTCCTCGTGAGGCAGCACTGAGGGCCTGAGCAGGCGCGGCCCCCACCCTGAGCACACCTTTCCACCGCTCCACGCCCAAGGTGACATTGCGACAGAGGCAGCCCCTGCCTGGCCCGAGTCACAAGGAGCTCTCTTTGGGCCTTTGGGATATAATTCCCCACCCTTCCGAGGAGACCCTTTGGCTCCCTGGATGGAGTAAGTTTCCCTCCACCGTGACCGTAGCTCTCGGACAGCATTTGTCATGGTGCGGGGCCACTTCACCATGTCTGCCATCAGGCTGGCAGCTGTTCACAGGCAGGGATGCATCTGTGTGCACTTTTAGTTCGAGGCCACTCCTGCAGCCTCAGGGAGGTGGGTGGAAATGAAGCCCTCAGCAGCCATGAGCTTACCACACTTTCTTTGCCATTGCAGGGAGATGCCCAAACGGAAGAGAACGACGTGAACAAGCGGAGGCGGAAAGGCTTCATCACCGTGGACCAGGATTGTGTGCGCAGGGTCAGTGTAGACAAAGGCCGGTTTCCTGGCAACCAGGGGCTCAGGGCTGCCCAAAGTGACAGCAGCCTTGGCAGTTCTTTCTTTCTCATGAACCGCTGAATTCCAGTCTTGACTTGATGACAAAACACCCAGGGCTCTGACCCTCACTTCACTATTTCCTAGCTATGCACCCTTGCGGAGCAGCCTTCTGGGGTGGGGGTCCCGTCTGTAAAATGCGATGATACACTTGAAAGGTAGGAACCAGCAGGAATTCTAAAGATCAGTAAGATGATGCGTGCAACACACTGAACATGGCACCTGACACATGTGTTAATGCATCCCTAGTACGTAGGAAAGAGTCCCACTTTTCTCCAAGTCATTGTATTCTTTCTTTTTCTTTTTCTACACTTTGTCTTTTGAGCCAAATGTCCTGTAGCCTATAGTGCCACCTCCTGGTGGAAAAGAAAAATAATTGCAGGCAATTTAGCCAAAAGTGAATCTCGCACCTGCTTCTGAAAAATTGGTCAGCCAAAAAAGAAATAAGCTCCTGCTTTGCCAGGCTTCAAGTCAAATGGACTTGAGATATACAGTACACTTTAAAAAGCCCTTCTAATTCCACAAAAGCAAAGGTACACGTCAGTGAAATGCAGGGTGCCAGCTTTAGCTAACTTACTGGTGACGGCAAAGATGATTCAGGGCTAGGCACACGCCTGTTATCCAGGCAGCCTGGGGTGCTAAGGCAGGAGGATCACAAGTTCGAGCCCAACCCGGGCAACTCAGGCACTTAGGAAGATTTTGTCTGAAAATAAAAAATAATGAAATGGCTAGGAAGAAAAAGACTTAAGGGATTGTTTGTATAATGCATCCATACCTGATTCATAGGACGAGAAAAGAACTTTTTCTATTTTACATCATTGAAGATGTGTGTTACTATAGTTCAAAACATATCTGTGGCTTGCTTTACAATAGAACTACATAAGATATGGCTGAAAAATACAGTGGATGTTTAATTTATTACAATAAAAGACCCATTGCCGTTAATCCCCCCTCACTGCAGACCCACTTATCCCAGAGCTCTTGCCACTATCTGAAGCGGTTTTGGACGACCTCTTTCGTGTCTCTAGTCGCACTGTTACAACTGCCTTGATGTTCTAAGTTGATGCAGAACATTTACCTTGCATGGTCACCTTGACTTTGGGGAAGAGCCAGAAGTCACACGGTGCTGTTTCCGGTGAAGAGAGTGGATGGGGCCATGTACTGTTGTTAAGAGCCTGCCTTTTCCGTTGGACAGCACTGGGCAGCAGCATCCACGTATCTTTAAACCACACCTCATACAGAGCTAACCCCAAGGGGGATCAGAGCACCCCAAAGCCTCCTTAGCTTCACATCATCTTGGGGAGCCTTTTCCTGCCTCTCACCCTTGGCTGGCAGCACAGGGCCGGACTGGAGAAGAAATCTGGTCTGCATCTGCCCCTTCTGAGATAGCTCTGAGCTGTTTTCTGGAGAAGTTGTTTTGCTTAAAGTCACCTTTAACAAAGCAACGATGCTTGCTACTCAAAGAGTGGGCCGAGACCCAGCAGCACATCAGCGGCCCCTGGGTATTAGAACTGCAGACTCTGGAGCCTCCTCCCCAGACCTAGCAAAACCCAGTCTGCTTTGAAGCTAGATCCCCGGTCATCCATGTGCCTGTTAATGCACGAAAGTGCTGGCCTCTGTGACCCTGGGTACTGACTGACCTTGGTCTTCCACAATAGCGATGGCCCCATAAACATGCGCAGCAAATGCACTCGCCTCTGACTCAGTTCCCGGTGTTGATGGGCACAATCGCATCTCACACTTTGAAGCAGGAAGTGCCTCTTTGCTTACTGTTTGTCCATCACATCAGACTGGCTATCCATACCCAGTCTCCCATGTGCCTGCTACTCCCAGGAATCCTTCAAAAAGTAAGGCACATGTAGGGCTGGGGATCTAGCTCAGTGGTTCTGCCGCCTACCTCAAAAGCACAAGGTCCCGAGTTCGATCTCCAGTACCAAAAAAAAAAAAAAAAAGTAATGTGCTCTAGCTTGACTCCTTCCATGAATTTCTTCCAGGGTGCACATCTTTGTTGTCTTGAGAATGTTATTGCTGTGGGCAAGGCCCTTGAGAAATCCTACTGCCCACTAGCTTCCTTGGTGTGTGGGAGATCCTGTGGGGAGGGGAGCAGACGTTCTTATGAAACCCCAGTAATTTTCAAATTTTTATGGTTAGCTGGTGAACTAGAGAACTCTTATATGGAACTCCACTGTATTAAAAAGCATGACCAAGCAGTCGAGCTCCACAACACCACTTGTACGTCATGCTGCTCTCATGGACCCTCTGGGATGGATGCTAAGGCCATTTCTCCTCTGTGGCTCCTCCCCAAAGCCTACCACCCCAGTCTCATCGCGAGAAAGCATCAGACCAACAGAGCCACTTTCTATACAGTAACAGTCAAAGTGTCAAGGCCATGAAAGACTAGGAAAGATGGAGACATTGCCACAGACGAGAAGAACCCAAGCAGACATAATGACTCTGGGAGACATTTGTCTCCCTCTTTCGCAGACACTTGTCTGCCCAGTGAGGTCTCTGCCAGGCAGCCTGCTCTCTCTGCCTCTCCTCCTCAGCCATGGACAAGTCCTGCTTTGGGAATTCTGTCCCTGTCTTGGGTCTCCACACCGATCCTGATACCTGGCTTCCAAGATGCATCCTCTAATGTACTGTTTTGACCTTTGCAGCTGCCAACCTTCTCCAGCCATAGTTTGGGTTCCTCTCAAGAGTGCGGCAACAGTAAGGAAGCAGGAAATCAGAACAAAGTCAAGTCCATGGCGAGTCAGCTGCTGGCCAAGTTTGAGGAGAGCACACGGAACCCCTCAGTCCTGAGGCAGGTGAGTCAGGCTGGGTGCTCACTGGGCCTGGCTTCCTGGTGAGCAGCCCATGCTGGGGAGTCCAGTTCAGACTCCAGATGGATTGAGATGCACCAGCCAGGCCCAGTGGAAATGTGACTGGAGCCACTTGGTGAGGAGTTGGCAGGCCCTTCCATGAGGCTGGCTAGCAGCTCTTTTACACAGTGCTTTGCAGGCTGTACTGTCCTATTACAATAATGTGGCTCTGCCATTGCAACACGAAAGGCTCTATGGATGGGACCTAAACAAGTGAGCATAACTGTTCTAATAAAACTTTATTTACAAAAACAAGCCAGATTTGCCCCGTGGGCCAAAGTTGTGTCTGTTGTGCATTAAAGAAATCCATTTCCTAATTTGGTTTTGCTTTAAAACCATGACTTGGTTTGCAGCCACTTTTGAGACGGTAGAGCTCGAGGGAAGTTTTGAGCTTCTGGCCATGTGGGAGAGTGCTAAGTGCATGGTGAGAAGACTCATTAAACTCAGAGGAAACTGACTCAGATCTCCAGGGAGCTGAGCAACCTCCCAAGCATCCCTGGCCCTCTTCTCAGCCTGTAGCCCCGTCAGCTGGCTGGGCTGCTGTGTCTGACCAGGGTTAGTCTGAGAACAGGGCACACGCTGCATGTTCTGGGTCAGGCTGCTGACTCCTGCCTAACTCCAGTCAGGATCTGTGCTCATAGTTCAGTTTGCTCCCCTGGATTTCTTTTGGAGGCTGTTGTCACAGTACAAAAGCTAGGAGAAAGGGGGTTTGTTCTGTCTATGGAGAATACCTGTCCCATGACATTATCGAGTCCCTTTCAGGACAGAGTCTTGCTCTGATTAGCTTTAGAGACAATCAGAGATGTCTTCTTGGTCTTGGTGTGGACCGTGCCCCTCCTGGACTAACTGATCACCCCAGGAAGTGATTTCATTACAAGGACCATTGTCCTGAGGCCTGTAATTCTCTAAGAATCTTCTCAATGCCCTTTCTAGGGGCTTGGCCTCCCCAGTGTGAGTGAGGGCTCTGTTCCATCAGAAAGACTGGGGCCTCCCTGTCCTGGAGCTGGCAGGAAGCTCCTCGTTTCCAGGAGGATTCCCCCTGGCTGGCCACCCTGGTCTGGCACAGACTCTGGCAGTGCCAACCCAGGGCCCTGGGTCTGAGCCAAACCCAAGGCCTGTGGGATTCACACCTTGTTAAGGAGGAGGGGACTCCGGGCCTGGCTGCTCACCTGGACGTGGACAGAGAGCAGGCTCGGGTTACCCGCTGGGCCTGGCTTGTAGGAACCCCGCCAGCCTCTCTGCGCTTGCGCACTGCATCCACCCCCTGCTCCTCTCTCCCCCCTCCGCCTCTCTCGGTCTTACTCACCCTTTCCTTCTTGTCTCCCGTGGCTGCTTCTTTGGACCTTTCTCCTCCCAGGAGCGCCGTGTCTCAGGGATAGGTAACCCCGTCCTGTGCTCTTCCGCTGACCCTCCTGTAGACTCGCACTGCCCCACGCCGAAGGAGCCCACTCCCAGCCCACCGCCTCCTCTGAAAAGGCAGGTAGGGCTCCTGCCACAGGGCACTGTTTGGCGGACATTGATCTGAGGGGCGGGGTCAGTAGCTCCCTCTGGCGCCCCACTGGGGCTGACTGTAGGTTCTCTGGGGAAATGGACACGGCTTGAGGTGGCTGCCCTATAGGTCAGAATAGCCGTGTATCCAGCCCTCGAAACTCATGGCTGATCCCCCCGCCGTCAGAGGCACCCACTGACCAACCACCACACCCTTAGTGTTGCTGCCTGGGGGCACAAACTGTACCACGTGGGGCAGCAGTGGGGAACCTATGGCACACATGCTGCAGCGAGCTGTTTGTATCATTGAAAGCTCTAAATGGTTCGCCACCACTGTCGTAGGGTTTTGTGCAACATAGAGCTTTGCGTGCATACTCAACTCTTGAAGAGGCCAGTCTCCAAATCGGTGCGGTGTGATGCTGGCATGGGCTCGAATAGCAAGGGGTGAGGCTGGGTGAGGCCTCCCAGGTTCCGCACCAGCCAGGCCCTGCGTGGAGGGCCTATGGCTCATTCTACCTTGCAGCTCTGGGTTTGGAATTTGAACAGAACCGCTAAAAATAGACTACAAATTCCGATGGAGGTGGGATGAGGCAGGTGCAGATCCGCTAAGGTGATCTTGTGTGTTATCTACTAATCGCCTATGGAGCTTTTTACAAAACACACAGGTCTCCCCCTTACCAGTCAATCAAATCAGCCCAGTGGAGGTTAAGCCCAGACCTGGGTATTTTTTTTAAAGTAGCTCAGAAGCAGCTAGAACTGAGAACCGGGACTGCACAGGTTTGGGCTGGGGTGAGGCCCGGGATTAGTTATCAACACGGGTGTCAGGTGACTCTGAGGCACGCGCAGAAGGGCAGCCCCAGAGGCCAACTGGCCCTCGTCGCCTCTGTCTCTGGTCCTCACGGGGCCCTTACAGTGGGGACCATGGAAGCCCAGGCAGGAAGGGCGGTTGATGTCCCGTCGCTCCCAGCTCTCCTCTGTGCTTGTCATGGGGCAGGTGCTCAGGGAGCTCAAGCAGGTGTCTCCTGGTGGCGAGTGTCCAAGCCGGCCCTGGAGAGCCAGGGCCAAGTCTGACCTGCAGCTCAGTGGCCCAGAAAACCTTGCCTCCCTGCCTCCCGCTTGCCAGGGGGCCCTGGCCCTCTCGGGGGTACTGCGGCGGCTACAGCAAGTGGAGGAAAAGATTCTCCAGGTGAGAGATCGCAGCGGCCCTGCCCGGTCCAGGCCTGGGTGGCTTTCTGTCCTCCCTCTCCTCCTCCCCTGCCCTCCACGGCTCCCTTCTCCTCCTGCTCCCTCCTTGTCTCCCATCCTGCTGTGTGTGTGGCCAGTGGGACGAGCCCCAGATCTGTGGGCTCCCACTTGGAGCAGTCCTCTCGCCTCTGTCACTGTTTCTCTTTTCTTCCTCCTTTCTCGCCTTGACTGCAGAAGAGGTCTCAGAACTTGGCCAACAGGGAATTTCACCAAAAGAACATTAAAGAGAAAGCGGCTCACCTCGCCTCCATGTTTGGACACGGGGATTTCCCACAGGTAAACCGGGTCTGTCCGAGCCCCAGCAGCCCACATGCTGGGCATCCAGCCAAGTGCAGGGAACCACCTTCTGGAGCTTTTTTTTCTCCTTCTTTTTTTATAATATGAGGAATTATTTATTTTGTAAGCCACTAATGAGACTGAGGTTGAGCTGGGGATTTAGCTCAGTGGTTTCGCTGCCTGCTGCACAAGTGCAAGGACCCGAGTTCGATCCCCGGTACCAAAAAAAAAAAAAAAGAAAGAAAAGAGACTGAGGTAGCATCTCAAAAAATGCAAAGATTTCAAATAAGTCAGTGTATCATGGCAAAGGGAAAACAAAGGCAGGAAAATAAGCCCAAGTCAAAAGGAATTGCTTCCAAACAGAAAGACAGACTTTAACAGCCTGTAATTTCTAAGTGTATTCAGAGCCCCTCAAGGCCCACTGCAAGGAGGAAATGCTGGTCAGTTGTAAGACTCCCAGTGTCTTTAAGGGGGAAGCTCACGCTGCTTTGGAGCACAGTTGACAGCTGAGCTGTGGACCTCATCAGGGAGGCCCCAAACAATGCTGCCAAAGGAACGCCCTAGGCTCTGGTCCTCAGGGGCAATGCCAAGCCAAGATGCAAAGTCTCCCTTAGCACAGGAAGTACAGTCCTTCCAAGACAGTTACTTATTTGGAAACTTGCAGAAAAAAGTGGGTGTTCCCAAGGAGCTAACAGCATTGATACTGAGGCCCCTGGGTGGGTGCGAGTGTGAAGCCCTTTCCCGATGCAGCAAGCCTGTCTCTGGAACGCGTCTCCTCTGCCACTCTCACTCCATCTCCTCCAGACCTGTGGCCCCTGCCCCCTGGTAGAGTCAGTGAAGGAGTGGGAATGGGAGGAATGCTTTACATGGAGTTCATTTTTAAGCCAGCACTGTCACCTGCCCACCGCTGCAGAGGCCCCTGCTGTGCCATCTGTCCCAAGTGGCCCAGGGTTCTCCCTCCTAAGCTTGCAGCTGCTGCTTCAGACCAAGCTCTGGGGCAAGGGCTTCAGGAATTAGTGTTGCTGTCTGGGGCAGATGGAGGCAGGAACAAAGAGGATCTGCTCAGCTATTTCAGTGTGACCTGGCAGCTAGCACAGTGATAGCAGAACGCAGAGGCCACAGAATCCTGTTTGGCTCCAAAGACAGGCTTCTGTTCAGTCCTGAGACCCAGGCCTTGGTGTCTCTTTCCCCTTTGGGGCACAAGGCTGCATCAGGGAGCTCGATTTACTATACAGGCCCCTGGGATAATCCTAGTCTCCTCTATCTCTCTTCCATGCAGAATAAACTACTCTCTAAAGGCCTGTCTCATACTCATCCTCCATCTTCTTCCTCTTGCCTTCCGTCTCCTGATCCAGCTGCTACTTCTACTCCATCAACTGTTGACTCTGCTTCTCCTGCCAGAAAGGTAGTTGCCCTGAATCCTGTGCCGCCCCACCCCTTGCATGTCCTGAGATGGCCTTGTGTACCGCTTGGCTGCTCAGACAAACATCTGGAGCCTGGCCTGGCTTGGATCAAAATTTGTAAGAGATTTTACTACAGTCCTGGATTCAGTTTTGGTTTTGTGTTAGAACCTGCAACACAGCAGAACAGGCAGCATACAAAAGCCCTGCCAAACAGTGCTCATCCATCCAGCAAGAATTAATCAGGGGCTGACCTCATGCAAACCACTTTGCCAGATGCTCAGAAAACAAAGAGGGGAAGGTACAGTTCCCTTACTACAGTTTGGATAAAAATAGCGCATGATCATAGAAATAAGTCACATTTCTACTGTATGAAATTGCTGTTATTTGGCAGGTTTGACCTGAAAAAAATGGCGGTTTCACATGGTAAACCCATAGACTCCTACTCATTAATCTTGGAAGAGGTATAAAAGACAAGGTCGTAGGAAGAGAGGAGAGAAGCCTGGGAGGATTGGCAGAGGAGGCAGTACGGGAGCCGAGTGGCAAAGCTGCAGAGGAGTGTAGGGCAGGAAGGCAGAGCAGATATGAGATGGGAGACAGAGTGTCCACTGTGGCCTGAATTTGGGAACAAAGGGAGGTGTGGAGAGTGACGTGGAGGTCAGTGAGCTCTGTGTGCTAGGAATTTTATGTTATCCTCTGAGTTATTTTAAGCCACCAAAGGATCCACTCTGCATTCTGGCATGATGGCTCAGGCAGTAGAGCAGAGGTTGGCTTGCAGGAAGACTGTGTGTGTGTGTGTGTGTGTGTGTGTGTGTGTGTGTGTGTGTGCACGTGCGCATGCGCGTGCTAACTTTGGTTAAGTGGATAATGAAATGCATCCATAAACAATGATCACCCCTGGGGCTGGGTCTCTCTTTCACCTCTGGGATGACTGTGCTCCTGACAGCAGGCTGTCTGGCTCCCACTGAGGCTCAGTGTGCGAGGCTAATGGTGGCTTTGTCAGCAGTCCCTTCCATGCTGTGAGGCTGGTGTACAAACCAGCTTTGTACCACTGCCTCAGTGAGAAATTGCAGGTTTCCTCTTGGAGTCCCTCCTTCACTGACACATACGTCCTTGGGGAGAAAGGTGTAGGTAGGGTCCCCAAGAAAGGAGGAAGGAATCTTACTAGCCACACCCTCTCCTAAATGAATGTGAAGCACCCTCTAGCAGGGCAGGGCAGTAGGAGGTGATGTGGAGAATCACAAACACGTCCAATTCAATACCATGGAGAGGAGGCATGGTTGAGATACCATGAACTCTAGCATCCTGTTCTGGGTCAGCCATTGGTCGGTTGTTTGGCTTAAGCCTCCTGTGCTGCCTGGGCCCCCATTTTCCCCAACATGAGAATAGTCCTTTTCTCATATGCTAGTGAGCATTCTGAGTGGACATGGGCATTTTCACCATCAGTACCAGCCAGGTCCCAGGACAGCCTTTTTGCTCTGCTAAGGCAAAGATGCTTATCCAGGCAATACTTCCTGCTGTAAGAAAAGGACTTTTGCTTTCTTGATGGGATGATGGGGGGGACGGGGGACCTGGGCACAGGCCAGGCAGTGGCTGGCGCTCCTGGCTGGTCAGGTGGCCATGCCTTGCTCCTCCCTGCTCCAGCCCCCTCCGGCTGCTGGGCCCTTCCCAGGGAAGCCCAGCAAAGCCCTATCTTGTCCCCGATTTTCTGCTTAGGATGAGCTGGCTTGGTCACTGCTGTCATGTAGTTGGGGACTGAGCTGGGACAAGAAAAGCCACCAGCCTTCTCAAGTCCCCTGGCTTGGTTTCCGGCAGCATTAGTTTCCTGCTGGGGACTAGAGGAGCTTCTGGGACTGACAGAGATGCTTCGTGTCATGAGCTCATCCCTCATCTCATCCTCAAGCCCCACGGAGGCCTTCTCCATTGAGCTCTGCAGGCAGCTGTAAACCAGTGCCACTCCTTAGGCCAATAAGTGAACATCCATCCATTCATTTAACAAATGTTCATTACATGGCAACTCAGTGTTGGGTACTTTGCGTTCTTAGGATAGTGAGTCAGAGTGAAATCCCTGCCTTGATGAGGCTTACATTCTAGTAGGGAGAAGTAAACAATCAACAATCATGTGACATGTAAGTAAATTATATAACAGTATGTAAGAAGATAAGGCAATACTTCTTATGGAAAATGTAGAATGGTAGCAGGGGCCTGGAGTGCTGGGAAGGAAAGTGATTTTAAGTGGGGTGGGGAGGAGGGGTCTTCCTGTAATGTGGGAGCTGAGCAGGGGCAGAACCACAGATCAGAACCACGGATCAGAAAACAGAGGTTCAGGGACAGGATGAGGCCCAAGGCCCCCAACTCCCTGTCCAGCGATCTCTGCTGCAGGGGGCTTGTCAGAGAGACCAGCGCCAAGGCCGTATGCATGTGAAGCCCACACCAGGGCCAGGAGGGTGCAGATGGGCCTGGCTTTGGGAGGGCCAAGCCCAGGTCCCAGCCCAGGTCCCCCAGCCCCACCTTGGCAGCTTTGATCTTTTTTTCTCCTCTTTGCAGTAGAACACTTGCTTCATTTTTGTTATCTACCTCCCAACCCAACCTTGGCCATCAGATGATGGTGTAGTTAGGCTGTATTCACAGCTTCCGACTTATTAATTACAGGCTGATGTGCCTTTCAAGTGTGGCTTGGAATAATCGGGGAGCTCTTAAAAGGGGCCACACTTTGACACCAAGCCAGTCACCAAATATCTCTAAGTGCCCACACTCATGGGCCCCTGCAGGCCTCACTGGGAGTCCACTGTAGACAACTAGGGGTGGGGTGGTGAGTTCTCAGTTGCAAGCACTCCCAGAAAGGAGCTTGCCAGCCTCTCCCACTCAATCTTTCCTCCCAGGGCTACCGCCATTGATTCACCACCAGGCTCTGCACACACAGAGTCCGGCGGAATCACAGCTGCCTCTGAGGAGAGAACTGGTTGCCCCTTAATACAAGTGATGACTTGGTGATACACAGTTTTATCTTACCCTGACAGAGCTCAAGGTGTCTCTCACCAGAGAGAGCCAGGGCCCCGATGCCTCTTCCAAACAGACGATGGGCTGCTCTGACAGCCCAGTGACCCAAGGCTGCCTCAATTCAGGGGAGCTGGAGGAAGAAAAATGCACTTGGAAACGGATGCTCAGTCCTTGGCAACCTCCTGACAGGCAGTGTGTTCTGTGCCTGCCCTAGAGCCCTGCACCCCAACTAAGAGGATCCAGGACTTGGTCAAACTCATCAGGAGGAGCACGTGTTACCCAGAGGACACAAACTTGAGTCATGAGCTCCAAAACATGCAGCCAGAGCTCTGGCTTCAGACTATACTTACTCAGTTGATGCTTTGCTTCACTGAGGTCAGAGTGGGCCTGGATTTTTTTTCTTTTTTTTTTTTTTTGGTCTGAACAATCACAGGGAATCTTGAGGCCTTCTCATTTAGGGCCCAAACCCTTGCCAGAGCCTGTCTTTCAAAGCCTTGGACTATGCGATCTGTATCCAGTCTGAAGTCTCCAACACCATTTTTCTCAGCCATCCCATCAAACCAGCCCCTAGTGGTACCTGCTCCCTACAAACCAGTGGTTTCTTCGAGAAGAGAGGCTGTCCTGATTTGGCCAGAGCTATTGGTGCCACCATCTACCAGAACCGTTCTTGCAGGAACAAGGTGGCAGCGAGTATTTGCACAGCTGAGCAGGGGCCCTGCTTCACCAGACTGGGAGCCCAGGGTTAGTCCTCCTGCATCAGAAGAGCAGCGAGCATTGCAAAAGGAGCTCTCTCTTCTCCTGAGGGTGTTTGTTTTAAAACTGGATTTGGAGAGCTTAGTCTGTAGATTGCATGTTAGACAGAAATAGAACCACTGGGCAAGTTTTGGCTGAGCAATCCTCCTTGGCCCCATCTGGCACAAGGACAGGTCCCAAGGCCACCTCCAACATCAAGTCCCCTCCCTCTGCTCCAGAGATAGAGCTGGGCAGCTTTTTGAAGGTCTTTAGTGTGCATTGCAGCCTGGCAGGTTTGAATTTGCAGAGTGCCGTTGTGTGCCAGGGAGGCAGGGTGCTGTCCAGAGAGTGTGAGCTTGGAGTCAGACTTGATTTCAAAGCCCCAGCTTCTCACTGTGTGACCTTGGACAAGGTAGTGGACCTCTCTGAGGACTGTAATATAGAGATGTCATCAGCCACACCTGAAGGTGACTGGAATACAGCAGTGATCTGTTGTAGACAAAAAGCTTGAAATATCAGTAAATGTTTTCTTTCCTAGTAAAAGAGACCTGTAGAAGAACGCTCATATTTACCTCAAATGCATGTCGATCCCTGTCTTTCTAGAGGAAAAGTAGACAGTTCAGGTTTCTATCTTCATCCCAGCCCCTTAAGAACAGTGAATCAGAACCTCTCTGAGCTTCAGCTGCCTCACCTGCTCAAGGGGATTCGGAGACCACCCCTCCAAGTACACCTTGCAGGGCTGTGCCAGCTAAATGCATATGATCAGCAGCACAGTGTCTGGGACTGGGGAAAAATGGAGGCAGACATGGGGTCTCATTGAGAAGTCACCCCCTGAAGGGTTGCCTGCATCTCAGCTCTAAGATGCAATTCCCAGACCCCCTTAAATAAATCTCTTTCAGTTCCCTCCCATCAGGCAGTTAGCTTAGGACTCAGGCCCTCCCTCTGATGTTTCTCATCCAAGGACTCCTCAGTGAGGATGTCCTTGCCCACATAGACTTGGGGGACCTCCTCTGGCCCTAACTGTTGAGTCCAGCCCTGCCCACACAGTCTCAGTCCAAGGCCCTGAAAGCTTGGTTATCTGATGCCCAGACTAGGCCACATGGCTGCAGGTGGCTCAGCACTGGGTAGCAGGTGTTCTTTGGCTGAGTTCCAAGCCCGAGGAGGGATGTTCCATTGTTTGGACACCTAGGCCCCAGGAGCCTGCTTCCTCCTTTATTCAGAGTATCTTGCCTATGCTAGGACTATAAAAATAAATAAAACAGGGCTGCTGACATCAAGAGCCCCAGCCTGGAGGCGGAAATGGGCCAAGGACGTAGTGTGAGAAATGCTTCTGCTTCCAGGCAGAGACTCCTGCTCTCAGCTGCGGACAGGATTGCCTGAGCAATGTCTCTTGGTGGAGGGCCAGCATCTTCTGCAGCCTCTGGCACTGATGCTTGCGATAATGTTATGTCACTGTGCTTAAATCTAAACTGGAGAAAGGACAACTTTGTTCCGGATGAGCTACATCATTCTTGCTCAGGCAGAAAGTGGAAGTCTCCTCTCTTAAGTGAGAAGAGGGAAAAAGTCTTAGAACATGGAAATAGACCTGTACTGTGGCAGGGCTTTGAGCTCGTTAACTAGTTACCGAGGGCCTTCTGGGTACCCAGCCCGGATTCTTTATGACTCTTCTGCAGGCCAGCAAAGTTGGTAGTGGTCTCTCCATTCTACCAATGAGGGAGTTGAGGTTCACAGAAGGGAAATGGTATAGGTGGGGTTAACCGAAGGTGATGAGATGATAGCCTGCCTGAAATGTCCAACCACTCTAACTTGTTCTAATTAATTAGCTGAGAAATAATTAGAATTCAAAAGGAGAAAAAGGTAGTTAAAAAAATACCCAAGTCTTGAAAACTGTAAGAATGTCGAGAGATTATAAAGGATTGCAAAAGCAATCCTATGAAACTCTAAAATTGCTAATGCTTAAAAAACTAGTGAGCGGGAGGTGATCATTTTTGGCAAAATCACCAAATTACGCAAGTGGGCATTTGGGTAAATTGTACCCAGCCAAATCCTGAGTGCTCTCTGACCGGCCTTCCCAGGGAACATACATGGCTTGTCATTCAGCATATGAATCGCCTTGCTAAGCACTTATGGCTCTTACTGAGGTCAACACCAAGAAGTTTCTCTGTGAGTTGAGCATTTCTTTACTCCTCAGAAGATAGGCAACCTGGTAATTCCCCAGCTGATGACAGCAGGGCTACTCAAAGTGTGCTCCATGGGCAGGGACTGGCCTGTGATCATCAGTGAGTGCAGCAAGTGGGAGTGGCGTTAGAAATTGCAGAGCAATTTGATATCACCACACATCCAAATGTGTGATCACAGTTCTAGTCATTTAGGGTTATGGTATCCAGAAATATTCAGCCACAACACATCAGAGATTTAAATAGAAAAAAAAAAACCTGGTCATGGTGCACACATAATTTGAGGAGCACTGAGCTAGCAGAAGCCAGCTGGTTAGACCCTCACTCTTGTGGAACCAACACAGCCATCCTGCCATCAGGAATAGAGAGAGGACAACCTTGATCCTGGCAGGGAATGTCTGCCTTCGCACTGGTCTTCCTTGCGACCTCTCCTGGAGGTCCCAGTCTCCATCTTGGTGACTGGAATGGTCTCCGGCAGGTTAGAAAGGGCAGATGAGACCTAGTGTGGGTCACTCACCCTAAGGATCCTTTCAGTTCAGTTCCTTTTCATGACAATCTCTCAGAAGGTATGAGTGAATGCCACTGGGAGAAGGGAGCCCTGTTGCCCATAATGACAGGAAGGGCTAGGTGTGGTCTGCACCCTGGATCTGCTGGCCGGGTGACCTGGACAGTGTTCTGTGCTTATAGAATTGAGCAGGCGCTGACTGCACAGGCATGTTTTGGTGACACCCTCCAGCAACCTCACAGCCCTGCACGCTTCAGTAATTGCTCCCTAAGTCGGAGTTGCTGAGAAGCTCAGTGGCATAAAGTGCTTATTAGCTAAGTGCTTAATAAGGTCTCATTAGGAACCTGTATTTAAAGCATCAGAGAGTCCCGTCTCGATCTCTGCTCCATCAGGAGAGGCCATCATTGTGTGTGGGTGTCATGGCGTCACCCACTACCTTTCTGAGAGAGAACTGTGGAGCCAGTTCACACACTGGGCCAGTGGAGACAGCCACCCAAGGGGCTGGCAGACAGTACCAAAAGAAAATCTCCGCTGCCTCCTGTCGCCCTGTTTATTTTAGAATAAACCCAGAAGTACTTTGTCCTGCAGCCCCTGGCTGAGGGGCTGAGTTGGGATCCCAGTGGGGGATAGAGAACCAGGCAAACAATGGCTTACTCTCTTGAGCCAGCGCACCTGAGCCTCCCCGGAAGCAGGAGCCAAGTTTCTTGGCACTTGTAGCCTCCTGAAAATGGCAGGGAGCATGCCTGGAAGCAGAATCCCAGTCTTCCTGAGGCCGGGCCAGCATGGGGGCAGGGGTGGAGGGGTGGCAGCTGCTGCCCCTGAGAAGTGGCAGGCTTTGTAGTCTGAGGACGCCCCATCTGCCAAAGCCTGAAGGATCCGACAACCCCAGCAGGCCTGCAGCGTGTTCTGCCCTGTCTCCGGGAGCCATATACACAGATTATTCCAAAGCTGCTCTAAGGATTGGGGCTTCCATGATAAGAGAGAGAGTAAGGGTCTCCCGGGCCCAGCCGTTCTCCCCAGCGTTCTGGGCCCCCCTCTCCCTGTGCCTCCCTAGAGCGCCTACGCGTTTGCTGCAATCAGAAGAGCTGACCTTTGGTGCAGGCGATGGCCCTGCTGTCCAGAGGTGGGGAGCTGTGCGGCCTGCTGCCCTTTGCGTCACTGTCTCCTGAACCTCCCGCCTTGTATTTGAGCCTGTGTTACCAGAGCAGAGGTGGCCTCCCAAGAGCAGCCTTGGCTTCACGTGGAGAGTGTCATTTCACTCACTCCCAAGGCCCTGTTACTTGTGGTCCTAACACCCGCCAGCTTTCACCCAGAGGCCCTGCACCCTAAACTGCTTGTTCTGGCCTCTCCTTCTAGGAGCTGGATTTGGAGGTGAAGCAGGGGCAGGACTCCCCCTCCCTCCGGAGTCCAGGGGTCAGAAACATTATTTCCAGAGTCTCATGCTGTGGGTATTTGCCTCCCCTGAGGGGAGATGGCAGTGCTTCCAGGGAGAGGGGCTTTCAGAGCTGAGGGGAGAAGGGCAGCGAGCGAGGGTCTGCTGAGGGTGTTGTGTGATTGTGCCACGCTCCGGGCCGACAACTCTAGCCCTTCCGCATCCCGTTCTCATGTGGCTGGGGACCCAGGCGTGCATGGGTACCGTTAATAGCAGTAGTACTCACCACCCACCATCAGGTGGTGCTCTTAGGACCCACTCGGGACTGCTGCCTCCCCACTCTGGGTTGCGCCTGCCCAGAACCAGCTCTGGGGCCTGCTGGCCACTGCCACGGAGCTCCCCATCCTGCTCCTCCACCAGCCTAGGGCAGCCCAGCCGTCACTCCAGCCCAGCCACCACTGATGGCCAAGGCGGCCCATGGTCCTTTCCGGGAGGGACTCATCGGACACAGATACAGCTCTCTGGGGACTGGGAGCTGCAGGGTAGGCTGGGTGGGCCGAATCCAGAGTCATGGTTATCTTGAGTCTAGGCCCAGCATCTGCTAAGTGTCACACATCGAAATACCCCTTGTCTCACACAGTCCTTTCCATAAACGCACGAGGCAAGTACAACTCTCCCTGTTTTACTAGGTGAGGAAATGGAGCTCAGAAGCTCAGGCGGACCCATCAGTGGCAGAGCTGGGTCCCGGTCCGTGCAGGCCCCACTGCCCGCTCAACACCCCCAGCCCCAGGAAGGCAGCTCTCTGGAGGAGGAGGGCCGCAGATTAGCCTGTTGTCTGTGAGGGCCAGTTCCCCGTTTCCTACTTTCCTTTGTCGGCTTCTCTGTCCCACAGGCTTTTGCAGGCTCTGGTGACACAGGTGTGAGGCAGACCTTGTGGGTAGGGATTGGGCCCAAATAGCACAATTCCCCAGCCCCTGCTGAGAGAGGCTTGACCGCCCCAGGCTGAGCTTGGGAGACCTGAGAACATTCCTGAACCCTCCATTTGTGGGCTCACCAGATCCCTTCTCCTCTCTGGGATTCATTCACCCCACCTGTGCATCCAGAGGTTCAGTGAACCCCTCAAGGCCTTGCGACCCCAGTGGATATGGTTCTGTCAGTCACCTGGGTTACCTAGGGCCATGGGGTTTTACATTTTTATAGTGTTAAAAGACACTTAATTAAAATGTGCCATTGAACCATTTTTAAGTGTACGCTTCAGTGATATCAAGTACATTCATAATGTCGTGGAACCATCAGCACCATCTCCCGCACTCTGTTCACCTTGTAAAATTAAAACTCTATATCCGTAAACAATAACTCCCCATTCCCCTCCTCCAGGCCCTGCCATCCACCATTCCGAGGTCTGACTCTGATTTTGATGACTCTAGGCACCTCATAGAAGTAGAATTGTAGAGCATTTGCCTTTTGTGTGGCTTCAGAGTTTTCTTTCTTCCCTCCTGTCCATCCCAGGATGCCTGCCATCTGCTCCTGGCGCGTTTGCCTCTCCTGATGTTGCGTGCTCTTGGCATGTGGGTGCAGAGCCCTCGCCCACATCCTGCCTTGCTGAGTCTTCCTTCTGGACACTAACTGGCCTCTCCTTTGTCTGTTCCCCTGCCTCTGCTCTGGGCTAGCTGACAGTAGGGAAAGTGTCCAGCGGAATAGGGGCTGCGGCTGAAGTCCTGGTCAATCTGTACTTGAATGATCACAGACCTAAGGCCCAGGCCACCTCTCCAGACCTGGTAAGGATGCACACCTGTCAGCTTCGCCTGCATACAGTGGCTCTGGCCTCCAGGGTGGGAATGCCAGATACAGAGAGAAAGGCCCAGCCCTCTGAAAGTGCCCTTCTCAGGGACAGGAGGGTGCTTGGAATGGGCTGGACCCAAGCAGGGTCCAAAAGGACCTGCATCTCCTCAATGACAGAACAATGACAAATTGAACCTTGTGGATGAATTCCGAGGCAGAGTACCCTCTCCCTCTGCCTGTGGCTGTGAAGAACCACTCCGTGCACAGGCTGCACGAGGCCGTCCACCTAATTGGGCATCCCCAACCTTCGTGTCTGGTGTCCAGCCTGAGCAGCCCCATGTATCAGATGGAGAAATGAGTAATGGCGAGAGTATGCCTTTCCCTTCACACACCAGGCCACCGGCTGCTCAGTTGCCTGTGGCACGGTGCCCCAGAATTGCCCTGGGCCAGCCCTTCCTGGCCCTAGCCCTCCTGCTTTGCCTTTGGGAATCTGGCAGCCTGGGGTCTGCAAGGCACAGGCTCTCCCTTTTCTCTGCTGTCTTGGTCGTACTTGAGGCCACAAGCTTTTCTTGCCTGATCTGAGTCACTTCAGGGGACCCGGTCATGTAAAAACCTTCTTGTCGGGACCTTGACAGTGACTCCATTCTGGACCCCAGTGACACTTCAGCCCCAGGACCAGATCCTGGGGAGGGCATCCCTGGGCAGCATGTTTGTGGGTGATGCCCTTTCTGTCAGACCAGGCAGCATTGCTCCCACCCAGGACCAGAGGAGCCACCCTGGGGAAGAATTCCTACAGGGCTGGGGGCCTGGCTTCCAGGGAATCTTCCCACATGAGACACAAATAGGGCCCCAGAGGTCCTGGTGATTTGGTTGGGAATTTCTACAAGCCAAGCCCTGGCCTCTGAAGTCTCACACACTGCCCTTCCTTCCCCACCCCAGGAATCTATGCGGAAGACAATTCCCCTGAACCTGGGCGGCAGTGACACCTGCTACTTCTGTAAGAAGCGTGTGTATGTGATGGAGCGGCTGAGTGCTGAGGGCCACTTCTTCCACCGAGAGTGCTTCCGCTGCAGCATCTGTGCCACTACCTTGCGCCTGGCCACCTACGCCTTTGACTGTGAAGAAGGTAACCCGGGTGGTGGGGGGGTGCCCTGCAATCCTGGGCCTCTGGAGGCTCTGGGACGCCCACCTCTTCCCAGCAAGAAATGCAATGTGGCCAGGAAAGCTGCTTTGGGAATCCAGCTATGGAGGAAATGGAGGCATCAGTGCCTGCAGGGTACCAGGCAATGGTGCCACCACCATGGCTGAGGGCTTTGCATATGCTGTCACGTTCAGCCTGGCCACCTTCCATGGTCCCTTTATGGCCCAGAAAATCAAACCTGATGAACTGTTTAACACGCCAGCAGCACACCTGGCATGCAACAAGGCTTTAATAAATGATGGTGTATTACCAGTATCTGTAAAGTAGACGTTATAGTTGTAACCATAACCATAAGATCTCCTCTGATAAGTGGCCTAGCTGAGATCATTGAGGAAGGAATTATGCCCTTGGGAACGAATGGGTAATTTCTAACTTTTGGCCCTTGATGTTGCACTGTCCTGATGGTGTAGCATAGTACTATACTGGGGACTGCGCGGCCTCACTCTGACCCGCCTGGATCAAAATCCTGCCGGGATTAACCACCTGTTAGCCACTTGACTGTGAGCATGTTACCTCATCTCTTGTTCCCTCGGATTCCTTGACTGTGAAGTGAAGATAGCAGTAGCACTTAGCTCAGAAGGTTGCTATGACAACCGATGGGTTAGTTTGTGTGCCTAGAATAGTGCCTGCTGGACAGTAAGTCCTGCCTCGGGTATCCCTTCGACTATGGCCATTACCATCTCCATTGTTACTATGGTAGCAGCGAACTGGGGGGCTTTTCTGGAAGCTGCCCTTGGACCTGGGCAGTGGCTGGCTGCCCGGCATGGGCCTTGTCTGGGTCTCCTCTTCCCCGCTCCTGCTTCTCCTCAGCTATCCCCACCCCCAGGGATCCCAACAAGGAGAAGTGAGGGTGCTGATGCTCAGAGCTGCCCTTTTTGTTCCCTGGCAACTGGTCTTGTGAAGAAACTTGCCTCAGTTTGGTGTGAGGATTTTGGCCCCACCTGCCTCGCCCCCATTGCTGGAACCTTTTCCAAGCAGCAAAGTGTGCAGCTGCCTCATCTCGGAGCCACTTCTTTAGGGCAGGCAACAGAAGTGTGAGCCGTCCTGGACCTGCTTCCATTATTGGTGTATTCTGACTTGGTCATAATGAGCACTTAGCTTACGACTCCTGTGATCTGGAGAAAAATTGTGTGCATGTGTGTCTCTTTCCACAGGCAAGTTTTACTGCAAGCCTCATTTTATTCACTGTAAAACCAACAGCAAACAACGGAAGAGATGGACAGAGTTGAAGCAAGAAAGAGAGGTATGTTGTCTTCTCTCTGGTCTCAGAAGTGCCAGTGGAACACGGAAGACCCATTGAATGAAGAGGGTCTCCAAGAGTTCCTGAGAGTCAGGCCAGCTCCTCTGGCCCTGGAGGGATGGAGACTACACTCAGATAAGGAAGAGGGCCTCCACTTCCTGCTGTGGGTGGGTGGTTCTGCTACTGGAGGGTGTTCAGCCTGCCCTGTTCCCCTGAGAAGCTAAGCAGAGCTTGCTGTGTGCTGGGATGGACCACATGCTAAAGCCACACAAAAGCCATGCAGGCTCTCTCTGCCTGGGCTTGTGTGTCCACAGGGTGCAGCGTGCAGGAGGAACCACTGTGTGGGGCTCATCCACAGTTCCCAACTCATCCCCAAGATCCAGTGTGTCAGCAAAGGGACAGGCCTGCTGATTTATAGATGGGTGATTTGTGGTTGCACCTCTCTGGGAGCTATTTGCAAATACCTTCTCTCTGGTTTGATGAATCACCCACCACCAACAAAAACCCATAACTTAAAACTTTTTGTAGTGATACAAATAATGTAGACCCAATGTAGAAAGATGGGAAAATAAATAAAAGCACATAAAGAAGGATAGTTAAATCATCCATAACCGCTCTGCCTTGAGAGAACCCAGTAGCCATTGTGTAATGTCCCTTGCAAACATCTGCCCATATGAATATGTTTTCACCTGACTGGACTCCTGCCTCTACAATTTTATATCCTTATTTTTTTTCTCTAATAGTATACTGAGAACAGTTTTCCATGATGTTAAAAATGATTGGAGAGTGTAATTTTTAATACTTACGGAAGATTCTATTTTAGGCATGGTCAGCAGTCTATTTCACTAGCCCCACATTGTTAGACTTCCACACTGTTTGATATTCTAATCTTACAAATATTTTTACAATGGACATCTTTCTAATACAGGTTTTGATCTGTATTTCAAATTATTTATTTAGTCTATATTACTACAATTAGGGTGGCAGGTCAAAGAGCATGTACACTTTGAAGGTCCGTGAACTCTATGGTCCTCTTGCCCCCCACCCCCAACAAAGTTAGGTCCGCACTCAGCACCATGAATGAGAGGGCGGAGGTGGCGTGGGAGGCTCTCTGCAGAGCCAGGGAACCTCGTCGGGTTGGAGATAGCTGTCCCACATGGCTTTGTTGGAGTCCTCTGGGAGATTCATGGACTGAGTGCCCTCATTTCGACCTCTTTCTCAGGAGGAGAGGACGTGGCAAGAGCCAGAAGCCCCTCGGCGAGATGCTGCCACGGAAAGCTCTTGCGCAGTGGCTGCCATCAGCACAGCAGAAGGCAGCCCTCCAGGTATCTGCACCTCCTTCTTTAGGAAGGCACTGAGCTGGCCTCTCAGGCTGTCAAGGGGCCTGCTGGCCATTCCCTGGAGCCTGCTTAACTGGATGGAGGGCCTCCTGCACGCCGCTGGCCTCCATTTCAGGGACAATGCTTACAACTACCGCTACTCCTACGAGCTCCTGAGCCTGGGGCTGCCGCTCCTCTGGGCCTTGTTGGAGGTCCTGGCAAGCATGTGCAGGGAGTCTGAGGACTCCCTCGAGAGCGTCCGCAGCTGGGTGCTCAGGTGGCTCCCTGTCAAGCTCCAGTGAAGCATCTGGCTGCCCCAAAATGCCTTACCATTTCCAGGGTTTAGACAGCCCTGTGTTTGTAGCTTGTTAAGGCCCTGACCAGGAAGTCTAGCATCTATAGTCAGTTAGCTCCAAGCCAAAGAGTTTCACATTGGTCACCTCCACCTGGCTTTGACAGGGTGAACATGTATTCATGGTGCTAGGACCAGGGATGACATGAAGGATGTTTTTTTACTAAAGCTTTATACTGTTTTTTTACCAAAGTGAGCCATATTTCTGGGTTTACATTTCAATTTTTAACTTTCAATAAGCCCAGAGAAAGCATTTTTTTTCTCTGCCTGCCAATTTTTCTAACATGGGTTTGATATTTGATAATCAGTTTTACAGGCCTCTGCAATAGTACAGTGAGTTGCAATCATCACTACCTACAAAACTAATGACCCGGAATTCTATATGCACAAAAATGAAGGCACTATCTCTTGACCAGTGCCTTTCAATTTATGTAACTGATGCCACTTGTCAGCAATGTCCATGATTTATTTTTTGTGCATGTAATATGAAAGCATGTTGATTTTAGAAGAAAAGAAAACGGGTAGACTAGAATGAAACCAGCAAAAGCACAGAGGAATGTGTTGACTCTCTGCCCTCCCAGAGAGAGGAGGACTGTTTGCTCCTTTGTTTTAATGTAAAATAGAAGCTTAAAGGCCTCTATATCAAACCACAGCCAAATGACGCAGAGCCACAGGGTTTCACCAGATGGCT